GTTGGCTTACGTTTCACATAAGCAAATAACGCTTATCGGCTATATGTCGTAGCGTTTTGTGTTTATATGGCATACAAGAAATGTCATTCAACCGTCGCTTTCTGGATTTTGTTCTCATCTTGTCACTTTTTCTCCCTTTTTCTAATTTCTATTGTGGCCATAAATATCCATCCGACAACAGAAACAAAACGATTCCCCAAGAAAAACTCTAAAAAATCAAAACCAGCTCCTATATTACCACCGTTAGAGGATCAAACTAGTTGGCCTGCCCCGGCTGAGGTATTGATTAAAGATAAAGCAAAAGAAGCAAGTGAGCAAGCGGAGAAAAAGAATGATACCGGAAAGAAAGAGGAAGGGAGCAGTCCGAAAAGGGGTGAGTTTACAGTAGACAGCGTGAATGAGGGGAGATGAGAAGGAAAAGATAGGATTAGGCCATATAACGAAATCGAGATAGATTGAGAATTTATGGGAAAAAAGGTGTCAAGAAAGAACTAATAGATGGAATCGGAGTTTAGGAGGTGAAGGTAATTTCATATAACAATAGGAGAATGCGCTAAACAGTGCGGACGTACGCTATATAGAGGTGGTGATTGCAGGTAGTTCACGCGCAGCAGCAGGTGCAATAACAATGATAAAAGTTATAATAACGACACAAACTTTACTGACGGGCAACTGCTGCAATTGCTACAATTACATCTACAAGCGTGCTCCCGACATTCTTACCGACATTCTTACCGACATTCTTACTGGGCGACAACTACAAAATTCCTATTACTTGCACAAATTTCTCACATTTACACTCCTTTTCCAATTACCCCATCACTAGGCAAAGGCAAATGGATTCCAATTCCAGCAACGATTACTCATACAACTCCGCTTCCCAATCACCATCACGGATACAAGCATCGACGCCGTAGCGAAGATACAATCACACTTTCGCACAATAGACGTGATAGATATTCACAATATGACGATGTTAATGGCCGAGATGGTCGAGAGGGTAGATGGGATAAAGAGGGAAAGGAAGGAAGAGGCTGGGATAGAGAGGGACGAAGAGGAAGAGGAGAAGGAGGAGAAAGCAGTGGACGAGAGAGCGGAAGAGAGAATGGAAGAGAAGGGAACAGTAGAGAAGGGAACGGAAATGGAAATGGGCATGGACATGGTACAACGACAGGTCATAGAAGACGAGCCTCAGTACCACCACCCGCGAGCGGACAGTATGGCAGGAGATATATGCATAATTCGGACGGAAATGGGCAAGTTTCTGGCCATGTCAATAATAATATGTATCGTGGTCGGAGAACTGGTCGAGGTTGGTTATTATTTTTTTGTCATGTAATGGATTAAATTAGAGTGTATCGAGTGCTTGTTATCTAGTGAGATAGGATGTTGTGATACAAGTAGGCTAAACAATGTAGTTTCTTAATAAGCGCTTGTTTCTCATCTATTTGCTTATACATTAATTAATAGGCCGTTCATACGGATCCCGTGGCCCACCGCGCTCCGCTAGCGCTATCTATTCTCCCGGGTATACTCAGACATACAGTGTCTTTCCCAACGCCAAAATGCCTGTCGTGATTGATGTTGATGTGTTGAAATACTACATTGTCCAACAAGTGTAAGGATAATGAATTTAGTATTCTATGTTTGCTGTTGTTATTGTACAGCCGATGTTCGAGTTTGTTTGTATTTAACTATGCGCTTGTGTTTAGAACTTTCTTCGTTGGTTTTGGAGAGCGGAATGGTAAATGACAATGGAAGACTAAGATTATATTAATGAGCGACTTTATCGGTGTTTTGTAGGGAATATTATTTCAGCATAGAGAACCTTTGTAAAGATATATTCTTACGGAATAATGTATGAGTCACGAGTGTTATTTTGATCGTCATGCTGTTGCTGCTGCTTGTATTGTTTTAACATCGGCTAGTTGATGGTTATAACCTACTAATAATAACTGTGACATTCTCCTGATAGATGGATTTAGAAGGATACGTCGATGTATCGTTATTAGCGGGATTCAATAGAGTAAAGAATCTGACGACAGATGAGGCTCTCGTTCGTGAGGTATTTCAGTGAAAAACAGTCAGCAACAATAATAATCGTACGTCTACTAAGTAACGTATATGTACACGTAGGCTTTGCTTTATAGTCATATATTGGAAGTCAATGGGGATAAAGTCAGAAAGAGAGAGGGCTGGGACTTTTGGTTATTATCGAAGCAGGTAAATTGGCAATTCTGTGCTAATCAACAACAATATAAAGCTCACTAACTTGAATTCTTTCCTGTTTGTTAACCTCTCTTTCAGATCCAACGGGCCTCGTGATTCTCACATATTGCCGCATTAGGCCTTGTGATTCTCACATCTTTCACACATTACAACTTTTTCCCCTTTTTGCTTTGCACTAACGCTAAATCGCATCCGCGCTAACTAAGACTTTTAAAATTATGGTCCGATTTTCTGCTGATCATCTTCACTCAATTTTATTATAAATCTCTCACGAGGTCTCAGCCTCAATATCGGTCTCTTTCATATATCTCTTGCCTAAATCTCTCACGAGAGATCTCAGCCTCTATCGGGCTTGGCATCCTCCCACCCCACCACCGCCTACTGTTGGACGACTACTTATATATATACTTCACATTACATGGAAACTTTTCGCACCAAAAAACAAAATCTCTATTAATACAAGTACAAATACGATTATATATGTAGAGTAATAAATATTTGTCGATAAAAATAAATGCTATATCACAGTCAAATAAGCTGATGATAGTTAAACGATTTTTAATAAATATTAAATGGGGCAGACTGCAACAAAGCCGAACATTTGATAAAAACCAAAAGTGACTGATGACATTATAGGATTAAAAATGATATGAAAAAAATGTTCATGTTTAAATCAATGATACCAAATCCTTGAGGAGTATCTAGATAAGAAAAAATCACTTGTGAAATTTATCAAAATAAACGAGCATTAATGCCACCTTAGGATGAACCAAGATAAAAATTTCTTATTGTAGATGCAACAATGGTTAAAATTTTGGATTCGTCTCAAATCGTTCGATATCTGGTTATGGGTTGTAACTTCATCGTTTGAATTAAGGCTCATATTATTAAGCCGACCATTGCAATTATGCCATTTAGCAATAGGCCGAGAATGAAGCCAATACTCCAAACAGGAATACGTAAGCAGAATGTTATTGGTGAAAGTTGACAGATTTGCTTTTATGATGTATTGTTTCAACGATATTTATTGATTTCTGAAGCAAGTTAACATCCCAACGCTGCATACAATATACAGAAATATTCAATCTCAACAATGTTAACCATAGTCTTGGAAAATAGCAGACGTTGCGTTTCGTAAGCTAGACATTCAATTGACGTCACATTCAAATATTGCGTCATGTCGACGCTTATGTTGAATCGTTTCTCAGAAAAAAAGAGGTTAACGTTTACTGGCGTTGGAGCAGACACGGCAAATATGGGATGGCTAAAAAAAGCCAACGCAAATAAATAAACAGGACATAACTTTAAGTCAAAAATAATTAACGTTCAACGGATATTGCCTCGGCATGGTTAAACGCAAGGAAATGTCTCCAAAACGAACCAAATTATGTAAACCTGTTGAATCTCATTATTTAAATTATGAAGCACACGAGACTGAATTTGCAGTTTTACTTTTTGGTGGGTTGAAAATAAGAACGGTCTTTAGCTGGCTTACCAAAAAGCGACTGGATTCCATGTGCGTGTTAGAAAGAGACCAAAAGTACATCGGAAATCAATTCCAGCTAGGCTTCAATCATAATGTAGACGATGAAATAATAATTATAGGTAAATTGCGATTAATCGAAATATTCTACCAAATCGACTGTTTTCGTTATTTTAGTTGTTAGATAAAGGCACAGTTGGAAGCGTTCAAAATACTGAAGAATCCCTCACTACAGACAATGGCCCAAACGTGTATTGTTTAAACCATCCTTAGCAAGATTGATAGCGAGATGGTAAACCTTGCCACAGGCGCCAATGAAGAAGTTACTATCAGGAGATAGGAAATTTCGAATAAGAGTATATCAATTGTCGTATATTGCCGCGTCTTTTACCGGAAGCATTACATATAACTAATACTTTGTCGCCATTTTTATAAATTAGAACTTCACATTTCACAATAACTTTTATAGTAGGCGTGACCTCTGGATTGTTTCGTAATTGGATGAGATAATATTCTCCCATCTTTCGCGACATTAGCTTGACTAAGAGTTTGCATCAATTATCATGGTATGGGCCAAGTGTAGTATTTGTAGCTAATTTCCTAGCCTGATTAAAACCAGCTGCGAATTAATCCGCTATCTTTTTAATAATTATATTATACGGGTCCGTATCATTTCACCGACTACCTAAAAAGGATAACTTCGAGTGAAATGATTGCCTCCCATGTTATACTGATTGTCAAATACTCGATGAATTCTAGCCTTCGGCGAGATCCTATTAACTGGTTCAAAACAAGGAATGAAATAATATCCACTAAACCAAATTAATACTGTTTCAAGGTCAAAGGAGAAAAAAATTGTTTTTAGTAAGCGCAACCAAATGCGTCAATTGCGTGGCTTAATTTTATAATACCCAACATATCTGTGGACGTTATTAGTTCTTCAGATTCATTTAAAAAATATTATCTTATATACTGTTGCACTGCAACGTTTTCGACTCTAATGGCCATATTATGTCATTATTGGGGGGTCATTGCAAACAACATTTTGCAGCATAAGCTATAAATGAGCATGTTCATGTTCAGTTGAGATTCGGATTTAGAAAACTCGGTGAGCGTCCTAAAGAAAGGATTAGTAATCAATTAATCAATATAGCGGCCCAACCAAATTGATTGTATTGTCATATATATTTACAGTTGCATAACTTCTAAAAGGGAGCAAACAATACTGGGAGAATGCGGGTAATTATGACCGTGCGAATCATCCGATGATCAATTCGTTGGGCGTGGTTTTCATGTTACACCTGACAACAAGTATGAGAAAGCTATGTTGCATTCCAGAAACAACTTTTTGTGTCCGGACAGATCTTTCCAGTACTGGCTGCCATAAAACATAGAGCGAAACCAAATGATCGCATATGCAATGGTTGATCGAACCCGTTTTCATGTCTTGTAATTCCAAAAAGGTCTTGGGAATTTTGTACACATTGCGTATGCTCAGTTATTCTCAACCCTTATTTAGAAAAAATATCCATTCAGACATTTATTGTATCCATCCTGCAGGGCGCAGCTAGAAATTCATATGAAAGAGCCTCGATCTGTTTAAACCTGGTACTACACAATTAATCAGCATCCTGATGTTTATCACATGATTAAATTGGCATGATTTCTCGGCAGTCGTCATTTGTGCATATGATAAGGCTTGCATATGGGCAGGGCCGGAGATTTTGTCCGACTTATCGAGAGATCCGACTTATCGAATTTCGTAATTTTTAAATAAACCCCCCCTTTTATTTAATAAGCAATAATAATCATGCATTTCGCTTTCTTCCAATTTGATGTTTTAGGTCATTCATTCTCGAGATTACTGTCCACTTATATTTTGATGCTATCCAAAACAACCGTATTGCTTATGGTTTCTTCTCCCTCTTTTCTTTCTTCTTCTTCTTCCGTACTTCTTGTACTGCAGCAAAATGACGAAAACCATGAAGCAAAATTATTGGATAATTAATTGGGGCAGACTGCAACAAAACCAGACAAAGTGAACATCTTATTATGTGACATAAATGAGTTGCTGATTATGATGTGGCTGTAAAATTGACCAGGTGTGACTGATGGCGTTTTTGAAAAGCAATAATGGTGCATTCATAACTTAATTTTAATTTTCACTTTATCATACCAGAATGTGAAAAATATAAACCATAATGTGATTAATATAGGACTACCTCTATATAAAAAATATTAATATGAAACTAATTTACATTAAATCCACCATGAAACCCAAGAGAAAATTGCCTTATGTTTTTAAACTAACAGCTCATCGCATCAGATTCATTTGTGCGTCGCTTTGTCGAGAAAGATTGTGATGTCGATATTTGGAGCAGCGGTCGACTGATCGGCAAGATTATTCTGATTGTGTAATGGTCAAAAAATTCGCGTTCATTTCCGTGTGACGCATTCCTGGCTTCACGTACACGACCAGTATACGAAGGAAAGTTAAAAAACTCTGATTATTTCTGGCGGCACACAATATCCGGCTTACCGTATGGCACAGCTAGGCATTCATGCTTAGTGATGACCCCTGCGGCTCGCTGTTTAGAGACAAGAGTGCGAGAGTACCCTCTTTGACGCATGTTTGTCCTGCGACAAACATCCTCACTGTAGCATACCTCTCCGTCTTGTCTTTAGTATATTGGACATAGTGTTTCCTACCTCTGCATTGGCCGAGCTAAACAATAATGTTTTGCGATGACCCCATGCAGCCGATGCTTGGTAGATATTGCGAGGATACCCTCTTTGACGCATGTTTGTCCTGCGACAAACATCCTCACTGTAGCATACTCCTTCCAGTATTTACCAGAAAGCACTATGTCAAGCCAGTTCACTCAGATTTAGTTTCTCTTTGAGGGGGGCGTTACATTTTGAGATATCTCTAACCAATGTGTTCTCTACTAATATATACATTTTACAGATGGATTTCGAAAAAGAGATCGCACATTATTTGCAAACGGTTAACCATTCAAAATGGAACGTCGAGGACATTCTGAGATATCTGTCAGAGAATATCGAATTCTCCAGCGAAAGCGCAACGGAAATAGAAGATCATATAACGCAAAAGTTACGAATGATTGCTGACGACCCAAACGCTCTTCAAGCCGCCCGCAGGAAAGCGTTTAAACTTTTTACATCTATCAAGACAATATTTGAAAGGCGACCTGAGATCAAGCAGATCTTTGAATCGCAAGACCTTAAATATTCTGAGGTCGTAAATTTGCTGCTGTAAGTGCTACTGTCATTTGATTTGTTATCTATTTCTGTTTTATCAAGCTTGAATTGACCTTTCAATTCATAGAATTATTCACAGAATGTGGAAACTACAGTTCAAGAAGACCACGGGCCACTTTGCCATGAAAGTGCACAGAAATCACGGGAGACAACACCACCCCCAATTCCGTTGGCCACAGAAGTGCTACTAACAACTCCTCACAAAAGGCCACTTGAGAATGAGAACGTCCAACGGTACATCATTATGTTGCATTGTTTTGCATTCTATGTTGAATATTAATATGGATACTCAACCTTCCATTGTACATGTCTCTCAGATTCACAGACAAGCTGCCTTTAATTTGTGCTTTTGGCATGACCATCCAGCAGCTCGAGGAGACAGTGGGAAGGCAGCTGGCTTCTTGATTTGTAGGTTTCTTTTAGTTTTTTTTTGCTAGTTGTGCTGAAAGTCTGCCAACAATATAAGGTGACATACTTATAAGTGTTTAAAAATAACAGTTTCTATCTTGTGGACATCAGTCCATCGAGGCCGAGGAATATCGGTGAACGCACGTCATTACATATCATATCGCTCCCTTGTTTAAATATTACGAGACAACTTTTGCAACAATGTCTTTCGAGTGGATAGAGTCACATGCCCGTGCACCAAAAATTATGAAGACCTCATCAAATTCTGGCATCGTAAAGTTAGACGCAAAGGGTACCCGCTTCTCAGATAATCGTGAGGTGTGGCATATGGAAGTAGCGGGTCCACCGTGGAATTCCACATCTCGTCACGCTTGCGGGGACTCTAAAAAGACAATCAGAACTGACATATTCAACCTTGTAATGCTTCTTCGTGACCATCTGGACTGCAAAGTTGAGTTGGGAACACGTTTGAAAGTTTTCACGACTCAAGTAATTGGTGTGTAATTTTGTTAATAAAGAGACTGAATACAGAATCATGTATATTATTAGATTGCTCATTCTTTCCCCTCTTTCAGAGACGCGTATGACCTTGTATGCTATGAATATGCTCGAAGATGGCCGCTTCCTTGCAACTGAACTCGCCACGGCTGTTCTGCCATTTACGTTCAGTAGTCGTGGCAAGTATAATGCCATTCTGCGAATGATGTCCATCTTTCATGTAAGTTTTAGGTTAAAACATGTGGCAATTTTTGATATTCAAATGCTTCTTTTTACAAACAAATCTTGGTTTTCCACCAGGCCGAGATGACTAATCAAGAAGCATTATTGAAAGAAATGGATCGTGAGGTGCTACGGACAGAAGGAAAAACTGTTCGCGATGTGCTGAGGTTACCCGCAGATATGGAACTTGAATGATTAACTAAGCATAGATACTTTTTTTTTAAATATCATGCAAGGCATACTTTTCTAGCTGCGTGCATAAAAGCAGGTGAACAATAGCAATGTACCCACTACTCCGCAAAATGTGATTTTGATATATACAGTCAAACCTCGTTATACCGAAGGAATTCTGGCTCCCCCCGTTTTCTAAATAGTAAAATTCCCTCTTTATAACGAATTTAATAGTAAAATCGCTTTATACCGTTACCGAAGTGCGATGCTGGATTTTTACATATTGCACTAATCGCGTTATACCGAAGTTTTATCACGTGATAAAAAATGTAGAATAGTGATTGGCTGTAGCAGATGAGGATCATACGATTTCGCAATCGCTGATATTTGATATTAATCGTACGATTTAGCCGTCATATTTGTGTGCCAATATTTTGATCGTATGATATCAGCTGTCATCTTTTTAAATTCAGTAAACATGTTTATGATATTCGCACATATTGTTCAATCATGTAATTTTCGGTCATACGTTTAATGTTGAGACGTAAATATAATTGGAAATTTATTAACAAATTACAACGTGAGTTTCCATATTTTCTTCAACAAGGTAACATAGAAATTAATTATGATGATTTAAAGCCTTTCGTGCGTTAAAGAGAAAGGCGGAATTGCATAGTCCTGCAAAGCAAAAACAAACTCTAATAGATTCATTTGTTACTGATCAGTATAACTGTTTTATTATATTCACGTATTATTGATTGTAAATTGAAGTAAAGATATTATTCACATAAGTCTCATTATACCGAATATTGCTTGACCTTAGGCATAACTTCGTTACATAGAGGTACCTCACTATACCGAATGTCTCGTTATACCGAATCGTGGATGCCTCCCCTGACACTTCGGTATAACGAGGTTCGACTGTAATTGGGGCAGACTGCAGACAAAGTGAACATTTGATCATGTGAACTAAAAGAGGCTGATGTGGCTGAGCAGACACTAAATGTAAAGTAGTGGATGATGTCTTGAGAAGGCTTTGCTAGAGTGGCACAGCTGTGGCTCATGCACAACCCATGAACTATGTCATGACAATGTAATGATGAGTAACATTCAACTCGGTGAAGACCATGTTAATATCGATATAGGATCATGTCTATAAAAATAAATATATGAAACTAATTACTAAATCCACTATGGAACCCAAGAATTACAGCACTATTAGAAGCATTTTAAAGAAAGCTCAAGGAGGAAAAACTGCTCCATATGGTTTTAAAATCAATGATACCAAAATTTTCGAGGAATATCTACATAAAGAAAAAATCACTTATTAAATTTATCAAGAAGAACAAAAAATAATAAATATTAAGATGTACCATTACAAAACAAAAGGCAAATATATCTGGGCAGAAAAATTTAATACAAACAATTGACTGTCTATTTCAGCTTGTTAATGAGATTTCTGAACACAATATTAATGCTCTGCTCTCATCATAATTTAAAAAATTTTTTTAAAACAGTTATTTTGCTTTTTTTAATAAAATAATAAATTTTAAAAAATAATCATGACTAAATACAAAAGAAGAAAGTAAATTTTCAGTTCCAGTACCTAACACTGAAGAAAAAACCAACAAATTTTATTGTTGAGATTGTGCACAAAATATGGTCAAACAAGAACTAGATAATTGTGCAGATTGAAATGGTTGGCCTTGAAGAGTAAAACAGTTAAACGAGCATGGAGGTTTGACGTGCCAGATCCGGCATTACTACTTCTCGCAACCCCATCTCGGACTTCACGAATGTCATACCCAAGATGCTTCACAGTCTCGGATGGATCAGAGATACTTTTTTGTTGCTTTTTGAGGGTGGAAGTCATCTTTGTATTAATTTGATTTTGGGCTTCTTGCGAATTATTTCTGGTAATAAAGTAGAGAAAAATCGTCTGGAAGAACATGATTCCGACGAGTAGTAAGATATCTTTGAATGAGAACATTTTGAATGTAATGCAGGATTTTTTCGCGATTTTGCGTTGATAGAATAGTAGCGAAGTGTTTGTAAAGAGATTTGTGAGTAATTTCGCGCTTATTGGCAAAAGGATGAACATAAAGTTACGGCTCGCTCTATAGCGCGTTTTTTATAGACAAACACAGAATATGACATGTAACATTAGCGAATGCGAAAATTGTCGCTCATGTGTCGATCACAATAACCAGCGAAAATGAATCCAATTATGAGTCGGTTTATCTGTACTGAAATCCTAAGTAACTAATTTGTCGCTTCATTATGAATTCAAACGCAAAACATCATTCATGTTGGGCAAATTATTAAGGGTCGGGATGTAACTCGCCCATTAGTTGCTTTTTTGTACGCGGAAGATAATCAATATACTGGTAATGAAACACACAATAACACGATTGACCTTTCCGGATCTGCGTCAGCGCAGAGTGATTTATTAATAATACAGTAAATAGAGTAATTACAAAATCAAGTCACAACAAGCTAATTCACCTTAACTCTCTTATTTCCACCTTCCAATTCGTCCGCTTTTTGGATCTCTTCTAGTAACCATACGATGTGAGAAAACACCCTTTTTATCTTGTCTTCCATGTCAACATCATCATACGCAACGATCACCGGTTTCGATAACTTGAATGCGGGCCGTTCCTGTTCATCTAGCGAGCATTCCATGAAATAAAATTTCCCAGCGTCGGTAACTATCCCAAAAACTTTTCCAACTGTCGGATTCTCTTCTAACTCATTGGCCTTGCGTTTACGATTCGACAAGGATGACTCGAGCTGGACCGCACATTGGGTAACTCCCTTGACGAAATTATCCTTCTTAACCTCAGCGACTCCCACAGTTTTTGCCGTTCGACGCAAGTCGATGTTGCCGGGGGGCTTTCGCTACAAAATTTACCAAACCGAATTCCAGTTAAAGAAAAAAAGGAACGCATAAAACGAACGGCATAAAACACACGCGTAAAACCGGTAAAACACATGCATAAAACAACGCCTGCGAAATCAACAGGACCATGTCCATTCGGACCAGAAAGATTTTTTTGAGGGCGGACCTCGAATACATCTTTGAAATTATTCGCTCCAGCAAGCAGAGGTATGAATAGACGTATATAGATTTCGTGGCTTCGATTGATATCAGATTTATTGGAGTGATGTCGAGTCGTGAATTTGACTCTAGCATGAGATTTTTAAACACTTCTTGCGATGGTTCGATACTACCACACGAAAAAAGTGGGACACTGCTAATGTTGGATCTTCTGTTTCGCTGAAAAGAAGAAACACTAATTAAAATTTGATATAAGAAAGTTGATCTAAAAAATAGTCTATATGAAACTATCTCTATATAAGAAAGATTCTAATAAACTCTCGGTATAAGAAAGATTCTAAGATTTTTTACTATGTCCCGATCACTTTCTTATATCGCGAGCCACTTGTAATACCAACGCTGTCGCTGCGAATAAAAGTTCCTCGCGATAGTAATACCAACGCTGATCAGTTGGCTTAATTAATAACGTATTATTAGGAACTTTCTAGACTTTTTCACAATGTAACTATATGCAGAATGCAGAATGTGACCAATGATAATCCATACGCAAAAATTCGCGTTTGTCTAATTAAATTTGATTGTTTTCATAGCTTATTCCAACTACTGCCTTACACTAAAATTATACTAATACGATATTTCGTGCTGTAGGTTGGAACCTTTCGTTTTATTTATTGTTTTTTATTCCTACGTGACTTATACTGGAATCATTTCCTATACATATAAATCAGACGTTTAAATCCTATAAACACAAACATATCATTCATCAATTCTATATATTGTCCCCGACACATACATGTCTTATTCATCAGGAACACAAGTGTTCTTACCTTCTGTTGACGACTCACTACGTCCTAGTTTCTGAAATATCCGAAATCCAAGCTCATTCATTAGATACTTGTGAAAATGTTCTGGTCTAAATTTGATGTTATTGTAATTTTCCAACGTTGTCTAAAATCAAGAATGCGAATAAAGGGATATGAGTGCATATGCTTCAATGTATGCACCCTTTATTTTACTATTTTCTTCTCCTACCTCTGATATTTTCTTGTATTTCTTATAAGACTTGTATTCCTGCGGTTCGAATAGAAATATCCCATTGTCGTTCAGACATTCGTATATTTTGCGGAAGCATCGTTTAATTCCTTCATCTCCATGATGTAGGTGAATCCACTTTGAAACAGAAAAACTAATTTTGATTGCAATGACATCAAAAGATCAAATAGTTGGATGGAATTAGATGCTAATGCCAGTAGTAATTAAACAACGACTAGATAATGAGATCGATAGCGAAATAGGATAGTTAGAATTATGCATATCAACGGTTCTTAATGATCTAACCATGTTTTTACAATAACTTAATAACTCACAGACATATAGTATCAAACTTCTGTCCCACATCTGTCTCAGCCATCCAGTCTTCAGTCTCAAATCTAATGTTTTCATAATCCTTCGTCTCTACATCTTTTTTTATTCTCTCGTTTGCTCTTCTAATCAATACAGGATCAATATCTATTCCCAATGTCGTCTTGGGTTGAAACTTCCTGGCTAGTCAAACAAGTGGATGTCAACTAATGCTTTATACAAACAAGATACCTAATTCACGCAATTTCTAAATACTTACCAATGGCGATAGTCAAATCGCCCGAATTACATCCAATATCCAATATATTCCTTCCTTCAAGCCAATCTCTCTTAAACAGAGCAAGCCGTGAATCGTCGTTTGTCGCTGTCTTCTTTCGTTTATTATAGTATCCGTGGTAGTTACCACAAAAGTATGGTTGTCTATGCTGCAGAGCTTTGCGTGCCCTTTTGCGTTCTATTGTCGGTCTGACAGCTTTCGAAGTTGACGAATCCATAATAATTGCTTGACACGGAAAATACATGGCGCAACAACCAATATTAATATATTAATATAAAATGATGACGTTTCCTGTAACACAACGTTCAAAGAGCATCCGTTCGCAGTACATATAAGGTGCTTATTTATGGAACTATTCGTTGAACAAAATGATTGAAGGGCATCATTTGCGACTACGGGTTACCAACAGAAAATGGTTGTTCAATCCTATCGAGATGGTAGGCACCTGATTTCGAAAAGGGTTGATACATTCAAATATGCCTCTCTGGATGACATGGCGTATATTTGTTGATCTGCTGAAGTTCCTAGTTTTGGTAGTAATAGTCGTTGTAACACCTGTCAGGTTGTACCACCCATCAACCGATTAAAAAATTTTAAACGATAATAGATAATCGCGTTTTGAGCAAACATGGATTCCTCGCATGACAAGATAATAATTAAGGATTTGATCGTACGGACTATACTGGGGGCTGATTATTGGGGACGTGTAAAAAAGCAATCTGTCACTATTAATCTGGCTTTGTACAAGGATATTAGTCAAGCTGGTCAGACTGATCGTCTACCATTTTCAATCAATTATTCTACTGTATGTAAAGAGGTCACTGCATTTGCTGAAAAAACATCTCATGAATCAGCTGAAGCATTAGCTGAAGGTATTGCTAAGATATCCATTAAGGATTGCAACGCTCCGAAAGTTACTGTTCGCGTCGAGAAACTACAAGCATTGCTTCATGCTGCGTTAGCTGGTGTAGAAATAACTCGAAGTGCCGAGGATTATGTTTCCCTTGGTTTCAATTTGGATGCGCTACCCGTCTCTATCCATAGGAATCATGACACTGTGTTTGTGAAAGACTTGAGGCTTAGTACGATAATAGGTGTGAGACCATGGGAACGTGAGGAAAAGCAGGTTGTCGTGTTAAACTTGACAATTTATCCTCAATTTCGTGTGAAATCGCTCCAGAATGATGGTACCGCGAATCCATATGACTATCAGACGGTCGCGCGAAAAATATCGCAGGTAAAATGTAAAAAATCATCAGGATGAATTTATGCTCGAGAAGAACGCTAACACATTATTGACAGTGAATTTATTTATAATGAACTTAGCACGTTGAGGAGTCTAAATACTTGACAATTGAGGCATGCACCACGGCAGCTGCACATATAGCCTTGACAGAATGCCATGTTAACAAGATAACCGTTCGTGTTGAGAAACCTAATGCAATAACTTTTGCTAGCTCTGCAGGAGTAGAGATTACCCGAACTACATTTTCGCTAGAAGACAAGATGCGACATCTCGTATTACCGTATCTGAATCGCGCAAGCTTTGAATTAAAGAAAAGAGTCGATGGAGCGTCTGCTTGCACTGTTTCTGTTGATGATGCTAAGCTATCAGAGGAAGATGGTCACATCGCCTTTCTTGCCCTTGGATCTAATATAGGTGATAGTATAGCAAATATTAAGGAGAGCTTGCAACTATTGGAGAAGGACAACAACTGTAAAGTACTAGATACCTCATTTTTGTATGATACTTCGCCCATGTATAATGTAGATCAGCCCAGATTCGTAAACGCGGCATGTAAGGTAAAGCCCACATGACATTGTTTTCTATCGTAGGAATTACTTTTAATACAATCGCAATACGCTAACGCTTTATCTTCAAGAAGCCTTTGTCGTCTTACAAGAATTGCATACATTATCTTACCAGGTAACAACAAGCCTGTCCGCAGAGGGTTTACTTAAGTGGCTGAAATCTATAGAGAGAGATATGGGTCGGTCCAGCGTCGAATTAATAAGAAATGGTCCGCGTATAATCGATCTTGACATACTCTTTTATGATAACATCGAGTACACCTCGGAAACATTGACTATTCCACATCCTCGTATAAGTGAGCGCGAATTTGTATTGCGTCCATTGAACGAGTAAGCTTATTAATGATTCTTATTTCGAGTGTAATCCTCTTCCATAGATGTCGACATATTTGACAATTTTTTGTTGCATATAGCATTGCTCGGGACATTGAACATCCAATATTATTCAGAACTTGTAACCAACTTCTCTCGCAGCTTGTAGGCTCGCCTGATTACGAGGCAAATGAAGACGGGGTGCAAAAGTTCATGCCGATTAGAAACAGCAAATGGTCCTGGGGTAATAAGACATTTATTATGGGTGTGCTAAATGTTACACCCGACAGTTTTAGTGATGGCGGATTGTTCAATACTGTTGAGACTGCTATTGCTCATGCAGAGAAACTTGCGTTGGATGGAGCAGATATAATTGATATTGGTGGGTATTCTACGCGCCCGAATGCTGACGAGGTACAAGTGGATGAAGAATTAAAACGGGTTATCCCTGTCATTCGGGCTATACGTGAAAAAGGACACAAGGATATGATTATTTCCATTGATACCTTCCGTGCAGCGGTTGCCGAAGCTGCTATTGCTGCTGGAGCAGATATGATTAATGATATATCTGGCGGCCTGATGGATCCTCGGATGTACGATGTCATGGCACGTATGGACGTTCCTGTTTGTATTCAACATACTCGAGGAACACCAAAGACCATGAGGGAATTGACCCAATATGATGATCTTATAGAAGATATCTGTTATGAACTCTGTGAACGTGTTGAACGAGCGATTCGCGCAGGAGTTAAGAGATGGAATATTATCATTGATCCAGGTATTGGGTTTGCTAAAAATGCGCAGCAAAATTTTGAAATATTGCGTCGTTTACGTGATATAACAGGAGAAAATAGCCCTTTTGAGGGATTTCCTTGTCTAGTTGGACCATCAAGGAAGACCTTTATTGGAACAGTTACTCAAAAACCAGACGCCGAGACGCGTGTAATGGGTACTGCTGCTGCTTGTACTGCTTGTATTTCTGGAGGTGCTGACTTATTGAGGGTTCATGATGTGAAGGAAATGGTTGATGTCGTTAAAGTATCTGACAACATATGGCGATACAAATGACAATGCTCTTACAACGTGCGGCAAGCTGTATGGATGAATTAATTAATAGCTATAATAGCTATAGCAATTTTCTTGTTGCTGTTGTCATTTACTGTCAATGTCTCTATGACCACAAGACTATGAACAGTTTAAATGGATACTGGCGGTTAACTTAACAAATGTAATGTAACAATGTACAAAGTATCAGTAATACGACGTCTTATTTCTTATTAAAGTTATGGGATTCATTTTTACAAGCCTCTGCTTAAATAGGGAAACGTGAACTTTGATCACGGAAAGTGACATGAGCTTGAAATTGAGATTGTATCAATGTAGCAAGCTTTCGTTCAAAGGTCCATAGAAAGAATTGATCGAGCTAATGATTGCTTGCTAGTGGACTCTAGCGAATCGGAAAGCTAAAAGCGGTTTGTTTCCAGTATCGTCTATGATTAAGAATTTCCTTAACAACTGTCAGTGTGTCCATGGAATATTGACAAATAGTGACGCAGGCAACGTTTTCAATAATAGAATAAAAATCTCCCTGATTTCATTGATGCGCCAACCAGAGACTAGATTCTTCAAATCCTCAATGTTGACATATCATTCCCTATAGAAAAATCCCCCTTCCTCTACAATTGAACATCACATATCCGTAGTTAAAGAAACTCGCACCAAGAATGGAAATACAGGTCACGATGTCATGTAATATTAAAATCCGTCAACCACCCTGCATGAGTTTCACATGCCGATTAAAATACGTTAGTTCCATTTATGGTGTTCTGCCTACCATATATATCGTGTTAATATAACGATAACCTAAGTTGGTTACCTAAAAAAAAAATTTTTAACGCTCAAGCATAAGTGTAAGAACGCAATATGCAAGAGAATTCGGCCAATTTTCCTCGTGTTTGCTGCACTTCCCAGGAATTGCATGAGAAACCCATCCTCTGTCAAGATGCTACAGAACTTGATGCTTTGGTCTCGACAATGAAAGACCTTATGGTCGAACGTACGATACTTTGACTCTTTCCCGGTTTATCGCTAATAGATCAGAAAACACGGCGTCCTTGTTCTAATTTGGTTTATTATATAGATGTAGACAATAGTAGAAAACCCGGCGCTTTAGTAGTTGACTACAAATCTCCTGAAGAATTGAAAAAACTGGTGGATCTCGAGTTATCCGAGGAAGGCATCGGAATCGATGGTAATTATTGTCAAGAATTCCTTTTGCGTCTTGTTGCAACATCTCTTGTCCAAATTACTCAACAACATCAGGCCTCATGCCATTGTTGCAAACTGTGTTGCGTTACAGTGTAAACACCTGGAATCCGCGGTTCATGGATAAGCTATATGCTGGAACCAATCCTGTTGGAGTCATATCAGAGATGTTGATCGCGTTACTTAATGCTAATTCGCATGTGTATCATGTATCTCCTGTGCTCACTCTGATGGAGTATGCAGTCTCTGCAAGGTTGGCAAAGATGCTGGGTTTAGGAGAGGTACAATTTTTATGTCATTGCGGAATTCGAAACAAACGTCAAGACAGTGACTGTCAATAGGATTTGTGATTTTCCGATTCTAGCCCTCGATTCTTTAAATTTACTTTTCTTTTGTCATTTATCAGAACAGCGGAGGAATTACTTGCGCTGGTGGATCATTCTCCAACCAATTGGCAATGATAACAGCACGTAACCATATGTTCCCAGAAATCAAAGCACAAGGATATAATCAGTTTGGCAAAAAGTTAATAGTTTACACATCTTCGGCTGGCCATTATTCAATTGTCAAGACTGCAATGGCTCTCGGATTAGGTTCTGACAATGTTGTCAAAGTTCCATGCGATGATGAGGGTAGAATGAGGATAGACGATCTGGGTATGTAAATCATTCAAGTGTGTGATTGTCGAAACGTAACCTTTCGCTCCAATTGAATCCTTTTGGTGGTCTTTAGTGCGGTTGATAAATCGATCGATCAGTTTAGAAGAGACACCATTTTTCATAAATGCTACCGCTGGAACCACGGTGCTTGTATGTGACAATACGGTTTCTTTTTATATGTTCTTTCTCCTGTATTCACTAGCAAACACTCTTTTCCCTCGTCCCTTCCGGTTCTTCAGGGTGCATTTGATCCATTACGCTCTATTGGAGAAATAGCAAAGCGATATAATATATGGTATCATATAGACGGCTCCTGGGGCGGTAGTCTGATATTTTCCGAGAACAAAAAGCACTTGGTAGACGGCAGCGAAATGGTACCAACATATTTCCTTTAATTTTGACAATTGCCGTTGACGTTGATATTAACTTGGTGTCTATCCTGAATAGAATGAAGCTAAACCGGGGAGATACTAATGTCCTTTTGCAATGAATCGTCTATTTGCAGGCCGACACATTCACTCTGAATCCTCACAAGATGCTCGGTGCACCTCAACAATGTTCCTTTCTATTAGCTCGTGATCATCGCATTTTTGCTCGTTCAAATAGTCTGGGTGCCGGATACCTGTTCCATGGAAACGAGTATGACTTGGGAAACGGCACAGTTGGCTGCGGTAGAAGATCGGATTCTGTGAAATTCTTTCTAGGATGGAAGGTTTTCGGAATTAGAGGCTATGGAGCACGCATCGAGCATGCATTAAAGATGGCAAAGTACCTTGCTAAACTAGTATCCAATCATCCGCGATTCCAACTAATCATAGAGCCACCTAGTCTTCAGATATGTTTTTGGTACATACCCGAGGGATTACCTGCGGAACTCGAAAAGAGAGATTACAATCAGTATAAGACAAAACTGTCTGAGATTACAAAGGAAATTCATCGAAGAATAGTGCAAAGGGGCAAGTTTCTATTTGATTACGCTCCTTTGACACTAGGACGTTTAGAGTTGCCTTTGTTCTTTAGGGTAGTTGTAAATGCCCCTTCTGTTAACGAGGCTCATCTAGACGAACTTGTTGAAGAGATTGAGAGTATGGGTTCTGGAATTTTAGAGTGGCTTGAGGGAGAAGCTGTTATTGTTGATGATAATAGGAATGGAAAGCCGGTGATAGCAAATATTGATAGAGCTTCAAGCGTTAATAATAATATTTGTGTTGTAAGAGATGGGTTTATCGATAAGTAATGAATTTTTTTAACTATTTCGTCCGTTGATTCTTTTTGTCGCAGTATTTATTTTGAGTTCGGCGCTTATAAGCTGTAAGTAGGGATATACCTGTGTGCACTTTTATGTCAAGAATATATACTACTAAAGTATTTATATATAGAAACTTTCTGTGCCTTCCTGTATTCTTTGCTTCCAGCGAGTATATCTGACTTTGGATGTTTATCTTTCGTCTCACATCCCCAATCGATTGTTTTTAGTAAGTGCGCTAGAACATAACCATTTCCAATCATTGTCAGTTTTGTCGTTCGTATCTTTGCAATATAGATATTAATTCGGAACACATTTTGATATTTGGTTCTTGTCAACCCTTGATCAGCTAACTAGTCTTGTATTAATAACGGAGAAACTCAGCTTGACTTTGTATACTCTCTATTTAGGTTCAAGAAACACCTACTGTTAAACTATCAACCTGAAAGGCGCAAAAAAGTATCAGAAAAGATTGGTGTGCGATACCTTTGAAGTCAATGGGTTTACAATCAAGTCAACTGAAATTAAAATATTCCGAGAAAAGCTTGAAGAATACCATTGAATATCTGGTTCGTGAAGAGAGGGCTGTCTATGGTTATTTTGTTCGTGCTTTAACGTCTTCTATTAGCAGTTCGGCAGGCTGTTTGGAGCAAATCATAGGATTTGGACGTTTGTCGGATAAAGGACGGCATTAGCCTAGTTAACTGGATCGCGCAATCCGTGATGTCGAAAAAGTCTCGATGAAACGGAGAGTACGTGGGAAAAGTAATACTGCGTATATACAGTCTAATACAGTGATGGTCTCGCACAGAAGTTCGCCTCATAACAAAGAAAAGGCTAATGGGATCGCGAATAATGACATGTTAAAAGATAAAAACAAACGAAACCGTTTTATTGTGCAATTCTATTCGTAATTGATATAAAGACAGTCTTTCCTGTCATATCCAACACCGAAACTCTTCCATTAAACGATAAAGATATTATATTGATTAGAGTAATGTCTTGATGCAATGATTACGTACGAGAAAACCTTATTCGGTATCTTGGAGCTGGTTTGACAGTCCCCACTGATAAAGTGTCGTTATGCCAAAGCAAGAGAACGTCATGCACGCTTTTGTTAAAATGTGGTGGCTGTAGATATAATAAAATAGAGTTTTGTTAGCAAAGGTGCAAACACTCTATAATAAATCTTATGACAACGACTGTTATTACCTGCTGTCAAGAGTTACTGAAATGAGATCAGTAGCACTTGTCTTATTCAGTTAAGCTAATATATCCAGTTCTTCTCGGCATCCAGCGCTGATGCTTGCATCATTTGACTGAGTGACGGGGTTGTTTTGGTCGACGTAAATGCATTTGCATTATCGCCTTTCTCTTTATTTATTACTTATTTACAAACTTCTTAATTATTTACATGTTGAAGGATTCGTTCGAAGCATCAGAGCAATCATGGAAATAAAAAATCTAGCAATTCATTCTAAAGCCAAGGCTTATGTCATAGTAGCAATTGATAATATATATCCACTTGCGCCAATCAGCTAGTAGTATTGTTATTATTGTTGAGAAAGTCTGATTGACTTCCACCAGGGTGTCCTATAGGTGAATCTTCTATATCCGATGAACTAGGCGAAGACGTTAATGAACTAATGGATGATGATAATCCAGTTACGTCTTTTAATTTCTTCCGTGGTGTACTCGGTCGTGAGGATGCAGAACTAGCTGCACTTGACCCTTCTTTGCCATTTGCCTTTTCTCTTTCTTTCCGTCGTTTACGGTCCAATAACCTTTGCTTAATCTGCGCTTTAATTGATAAGGGACGATGGGAATGGTTACCAGTATCTCCATCCTTGGGATCTCCAAAGGATTCTGTTACGGAAACGTGTTTTCGAGGTTTAGCGATCTTGGTATCAGTGTCCTTGTTTACTCGTGCTCGTTTCCTGGGTTTAGGTTCGGCATTTACAGCTTTCTTTCTCACTTGTTTCTTTACTCCATCTGGACCATCTTCAGTTTGACGACCTTTCCCTTTTTCGGCTCGTTTTCTTGGCTCACCAGGTGCTTTCCTTTGTCTTCCTCTCGGTTTCGATTGTTTCCTCTCTTCGGTGGATGCAGGATTTACCTTTGGTCTATTAAACCATTTGGATATGTATTCGGGTGGCGTAAAGGTTCCAGTGCCATAAAAACCAGCAGGAGCACCTGGCCGTGCTACTGCAAAGTAAGAAGGTTTGGATCGCGTTCGTTCTTCTAGGTTTCGCATTTGGGCCTCAATTTCTTCGAGTACGCTGTCTTCAAACGCGTCCTGATCCTCTGTTTCTTCCTGGGCATGAAATACATCGGACACTGCTTCAACAAGTCCATCCTGTTTAATCCATTCGACACTCTCTGACCCGCTCATCGGAAGTTTAGTTTCAGGATTTGCAAACAGACGCGCCGAATTATTGACTCTCCGCGAAGTTTCTATTCGTGACTCTGAAAGTCGACTTGGATGTCGTATTTCGTCTTCCATCGGTGAATCCAGTAAATCCTGAACCTTGATGGAGTGACGAGTAATGGGAATGTCATTATCGAAGCCTGAATTTACAGAAGAGGAAGACATTTTTAAATGCAATGCTTATCGGAGTCACTCAAATTTTAGCTTGTTACATAGAAATGTCACACTTAAATTTCGCCGATCCCGTTAACATCAAGTATTTTTAGCTATGCCGTTGGTATGTTTGTAGTAGAGAACGTAAAGGTATTCATCGTCTGTTTAGGCATACAACTTTGTATTAGCTGTTGAGATCACATCTTTCTTTCTGTAGGTTTCAAGCAGTATAATTCCTGATTCTCTGACGTTTTCATGTAAACTGGTAGACTTTGCTTAATATTAATGTGGAGTTTTATTAGTAATGATAGGTTTTAACGCAGGCGTTAGTATGTCCATCATCATTAAAGTTTGTGTGTGAAAGACCTGAAGTTTCATGATGACATTTATTGTCGCTGTGTGAACTAAGACGAGGTTTAAGGATTTTAAAATATAACAGTAAATGCGTGGCTAATTGGATATACATATATACTAATACAGTAGATTATTATCATTATCATTATTATTATTACGAGCTATTCCCGCATTGGGTACAGCTACTATCTCAGAGTGCTACGTAAATCTCTTTGGAGCTAGTACGGAGAGCGACTCGATTATAGACTAAGTAAGAGCGTCTAGTTACAATTTGCAAAATTGGAATAGTTACAAAACATGATTAGGAGATATTATATATCCTATACAAAAGGCTTCAGAATCGCACAATAACTCACACCAATATTAATATTAATATCACAACCTTCAATTTTTACACGACTTCCCTGGTTGTTACAAAATCAAGCATGAAAACTCAATAATATCAGATTTAATATCAAATTTATTGGTTCGGATCAATAAAGCATGATATTAATATTGAACTATAAAAATGCCATATTAATATTGCAGTACGCTTAACAAATCTCAATGAGAAATGTTAACTTTCTCAAATACGTGTAATTACGGCAAAGTAATTGAACGAGTATTCTAGTATTACTATCGCGAGGGACAGCAAGTAAAACTTGCAGGTAACGTGATAAGAAATATTCCCAAACCGTCGTAACCAATTACTGTATAGTCCGAAAATAAGCTCCCCCGCAATCCTTCTAAATGTTTCTATTACTATGCATATTTACACACCTGACCTGTTACACAAAGTTGTGACCTCCGCACCCTATAGTTCGAGGAGTGCTTGTTTCGGAACAGCACGGTAATTAAAAACAAAACGTGGATCGAACTTCCACAGGCTTCCACGGAGCAACCCGTGAATTATCAAGATTACAGGAAAATGATAATTCGATAAATTAAAGAACGACTACGTATCATTGAATGACAGAGGAACCGAATGGCTTGGTTCTCGAACATACGCGTAAAGAATGATCAGCGTACGCAATCAATATTATGAGCAAAATTTACAAAGAGCAAGCTCCGGTCAAGGTCAGGACAGTATCTAACTATACATGAGCAGTATCTACTGTATTAATACGTGTAGACTCTTAATTCTTCTGATTTAGCAGAAAATCGTGAAATAAATTGGCCCAACGACGCTGGAACAGCATCACGATCTATTTTTTTGCCTGGTTTTTATAACGAGCCAATTGCTGAATGAAATTTCCCATTTTATGTATTTGTAATTCATTGTTCCGTGATCTCGTAATAATGTAAATATTCTTGTGTACGATTGGCTGTCCCAATTGGCTTATATACCCGAGATGGAGGAATTCGCGTATTCGAAAAAAAAACCTAGTTACGCTCCCTGAACACCCTGTCCTTTTCGTCCGAAATAACTAATCTGTTAAATCCACAATGGCCGCACCACGGGATCCATGCTTCTATAAGGAGACACCTCTTGTACTTAACAGTTTTAGCCCAGAAAGCATCCCAATAACATACACAATCACCGCAAATTCGTCGCAAACAACACGTGCTCCTGTGGAGCCTGCCAGCTACCAACAAGCGGAACAAGGATCGATACTTAAATTAAACAATGACATTCAAGGATATATTTTTTGGCAAGTTGTGGACGCGGGATGCGCACTAGATCTCAGATACATGTCACTCACGGACGGAGAGAACACAACCCCTACGTTAGATCAGGCGGGGCCGGTTTTCCCCGTTCGGTTCTCGTTTGGTGGACCCATAGTGCCAAAAGTCGCGTTCTTCGAAGGTGTCGGAATCGTGCTATGCCTCATATTAGTTAAAGACATCCTATACCGTCTTCGCTTACCCATAAAAGACATATTCAAAGCAAAAAGATTAACCGGAGATTATTACACGTATGCCAAGCTACGTACCCTTCAAGACCGGCAACCATGCATAATAACAGTACTCGACTATAACAACTTTGTCGTAGGCTGTAAGGATGGGGCAATGTTCAATTATAATTATGATAGTATACGGACACAACAGCTTCGCCAAGCAAGCCCGCGCACCATTGAAGGTAAGAATATACGGTTTTATATACTTTTGTACGTATTTAGTAATTGAAACGCAGTACTAAAACCGATCGTTTCATCCTACCCATCAGACACATTCAACGAAACTGAACTTGCAGAACCGTTAATAAAACAGCTAAAGAATCTCGGTTCTTTGTTGATGTACTACGGCAAGCGATCACAATCAGAATTAGACGATAATTCCTATAGTGATAGCTCATCATTTCAACCTATCTCGATGGCTTCACACATAGATGGTAGTCTCAAATTCGTGGTCAGTCTGTCTCGGGATCGAAGAATAAAAGTATGTTCACTGTCGACTAGTGAACATCTCGACGACAGGCCGCTGAAATCTGCAGGAGTAATGGAGAATAGCGATTCCGAAGACGATGAGTCGGTCAATAACGATGCCAATTTTGACGAATCCACAGCCGATCAAGGAGACGATAACATTAGAATGCCGGATTTGCCCCCTCACAGTAAAAGTTATATTTGCATACTTAGTGGGGGGGTGAAATTCCCAAGGACATTCAATTTCCTGGTGTACGTACCTTATCTTGACAGCGGCCTTTTTGTCTTGTATCGTGTTCGTTATGAACAAAAAGGTGCCCTTAAAAGTCTGGACATTATTGGTCAAATACGATGTACGGCAGATGAATATCTCAAAGAGAATGCACGTGCCCATGCCTTTGTCAAATTAGTGGGCATTGTTGCAGTAAAAAAATATGAAAACAAAATCGAATCTCCGTTTGACAATTCTGTTGGGACGCAAGTTTGGACTTTGTGGACTCTATGGGATAGAGCAGGGCGTGCTACAGTTGCATATACAGACTTGAAGATAACCTTTTTCAAAAGTCTAACGGAAGAATGCGTTGCGGGTGGAATGTCTTTACACGGCGCATCTTATAGACAAAATTGGATGATAGTCGCACATCCTTTACCAGAGCGACTCAATCCAACCCAATTTCTAAAAGACACAGTTAACGCCGAAGTCATCAATGAGGAATTTCTCGAGTATACGTTAATTCCTGGTCGATTCTCCGCAGCCATTATCCAGTCGAGTCTAGTGAATTTCATAACCGAAAGCAACGATCTCCAACTTTGCAAGAGACAATCTCAATTATTGCAAGATGCCAGGGACATTAGAGATAAAGTTAAAGATTATGTTACAGGACATGTTGTCAGGCAACTTGATCCTGAGACTGGATTGATACGCGAAAGTCAGTATATCGAAGATTTGCAGGCAGAATGGATAAGATTTTTGTCAAAATGTCATCAACTTTTAGAAGATGCTCAGAAACCTATATTTCTAATGGTTGACGTGTCCTCCAGACTCTTTTCCATCATTAAACAACATGGTATATCGGTTTTGCGTCTATGTGAGGCATTAGAAGTTATACATCAACATTTCGAGGGAGAACATAATGAGGATCGCCTTGAAAGCATATCCGTTGATGCCTTTATTCCTCAATATGCGTGTTTATCGGATGAGCGAGAGCGAGTGGATGTTATAAGAATTTTCAAAGCTGCAGACTTTGTAGTATCAAGATTTCAGTCTGATATCATTGGCTTAGAAGAACAGTTGATGGTAGGACTACTGGGCATACAGGAAGAACCAACAATAACGGTCGCTGTAAACTTTTATATACAATTTATGAGCAAAAATATTGGAGATCATTCGGACACAATATGGTCAATTGTCAAATCGACAGGAAAATGGCGGAGATGTGTAAGATCCATTATAGAAATGTTAAACGGCGTGTTAGAAGACAAGCGTATACCAAATGCCGAGTATACTTCTTCGATATTCGCAAATGCATTGTATGCATCTTCAACCCAACAAGTCATTCAGACACGTTACAAGATATCTCGCAACATTTTGCTGTTGTTGATTGCTCTCGCATCTTCTTCATATAATGACGAATTAGGGGGCACAAGGAAACTCCTCGGAAGTGCAATGATGACATACCATACACAGAGGCTCCTCATGTGGATTTCAAAACAATGCATACCACCATCAACGTCGCAAGAAGACAATTCAGAAGACAACATTATTGAGAAATTTTCGGTTCTCAATTTTAACAACCAAAGAAAATTTACTAGCAATGCCTCTCAATTTATCCGTCACAGTTTGATACAATCTCTTCTTCATCACCACTATTCTGCATCTTCAGTGTCTGTGACTAAGGATGCGGCGGCTCTTCTGCTCGTTGGAGTCCACAAATTTCTAAGGAAGGTAGAAATGTTGGATAACCATATACCACCGACTGTAATGACGACCGAAGCGTTTGTCAAGCTTGGAGACGTTTTCGAAGTGTCTGGATATGCAAGCTTACTCGAGAGATACCTTGGTTTTTTGCATAGAACGCCAGCAGTAATGTATCTCTATGGCAAACTCTACTTAAGAAAGGCAGATTATGTCAACGCAAAGGTTAACTTCGACAAGGCAGCATCTGGATATAGTAAGTAGGGATAATATATACTACGCGTGTGTATGTGTGTGTACTTGACGTTTAACTAATAAATTTTGTTACTTATTAGTTGGTAACCTGCTCGTGCCTCCGTACACTGGAAAGCCATTGATACGATCTCAGGATACAGTCTATGCTGACATCTCTGCATTTTATGTTCATGTTGCTGATCTGTTCGATAATCATAAGCAAGATTTGTATGTCATAAGATATTGCAAATTAGCTTTGAATGCCTTCAATGAAATGCAGAAAAGCACTCCAGAAGGTCATACACGTTGTGTACAGTTATGGAAACGTATGTTCAATCGTGGATTATCTGCGAACGCTTTTGGGCAAGCGTACTGGGCAGCAAAGTCTAACCCGGATCAGAAACTTCGAGAAGAAGGTCTTCGACGCTTGATTATGGATATGATTAAAAAACAAGAAGTGGTGAGCTTGCATCAAATGGGGTTCGTTGGCGTACGTGAACGTATTTTCGAAAAGACTTTGGAGAACGCAATAGAAGATGCTTCATTAGCTGGTTTGCATGTTGCGAAAATCGTACATGCAAGCTATATTCAAAGCGGTAAATATAAGCAAGCAGCAAAAGTAATGTATGAGAATGCGCAGAGAATTGGAAGGAACAATACCAATTCCACAAACTTTTTCGAGATGGCAACAGAACAAGCACAAAGTTACCTTGCGGCTATTAATTCTCTCGAGTTGCTTACTGATAGAAATGCATGGTTCCAAATTAATTCGGACCGAGTAGTTGAAGTTTCGAACCCAAAACGTCGGAAAATTGACGTGTCTTTGCCAATGGAAGTTGATCCGTCCGGTGCTCGAACTGATTTGGTCGTTATTGAGGAGATCAGGCGTGAATACGAGCTCATAATGGCCAAGCTGAAGCTAGGAAAACGTATAGGAGCTGCTGCTGGACCCATGAACGTTAAACAGGTCATTGCAACATGTACAGAATATCAAGAATACGAAACAGCAGCGACCGTTGCGAAGGCTTTCAATCAGGACATGACTGACATATTCCGAAGTATAACATACAAGTGTATGATAATGTCGGAATTTGGGGCACCTCAAAAAGAGTAAGTTATAGTGATGATTTCCAGTATTGAATTATCGATGCGCTCAATACTTATATTCCGTTGCTATCGTTCTGTTCTATAGTAGGAGTTACGATTGGATATATTCTAATCAATGGGCAAGCCTCCTTGACGGTACAGAAGTGACGCGTGCATGGGGATTTTTGCAATACTTCATAGATGAATACGACAGAATAGATCAGACAGAAGGACGATATAGAAATACCATCTTAGAGGTTATACTAACATCAAAACAAAATACAAAGATACCGCCATGGTTATCAGACTTTTATAAGGTACGACTTTGGTCGAGTGGCAAAGCTGATGATATATATTTACTAACAATTATCCGTATTTGTAGAGATATAATCCGAAGGATTATGTACGAATATTATTGGAACATAGTTATTTATTAGAGGCAGCATCGTTCATGATTGAATATTTTGTAATGGTACAGCACACTTTTCTACAGTCTCTAATTTGAACGGCATACGACTTTGGTATACTAATTTTATCAACTCTTTTAGGCTGAAGACTCTCCAACTTCAACCCCTTGGATGCCATATACGACGATAGACATGATTTTAGGTGCGGCTAAAGAATATATTGAAGAGAGTGGCCGTTCAAACGAAGAACGAGATCTAATAAGAAATCTAATAGAAGATCTCCAGAACCAGCTTAACCGCTATTTACCAAACCAAGAGCAATAATAATATTATTCTGTAAATAATTAAATGACTGAGTGTAGTGTGATGGGCTTTATTGGATTTGTAATAGTTGATAGACATGTAAGTAAGAATAAAATTTATTAATAACAACATGCAACATGCAACATGCAAAAACGAGATCCACAATTAGAGAGAGAAATCATGGTTGAGTAGATGTGGTTTTTAACTGCATTAGTCTGATAAAAACGATAAGTTGCGTGTTTCCCTTCCAAGGCCGCTCAATAATGTTGTGACAGCAGTATATTATTAATATTTTCTCGAATTCGCACAGGCAAATAAAACGTTCCAGGCTAGTAGTAAACTGATGTGAATCTGTAAAATGGTACGCAATATAGATCTTTGCGGTAAGAGGAATGAAACCCGTATTTTATTAAACATTGACAAATGTCTTGAACCACCATCCACAATGTAAATAACATTTCGCAAGAAAAAGCCCCCTCTTTCGCTCATTTCAACGTTCACCTATATTGCATGGCGTCAAATTTGGTTATAAAGATGCGCATAATCTCGCAATGGTTTTTCGGGGAGTCAAGCTCCCGACTTTAAATATTTGGACGCAAAAGATTTTACGTATGGGCCCCAACAGCACCATACTTTTCAAACGCAGAGAGAATTTATGGATTAACAACTCCGCTTTTGTTTGAATGAGCGCGTAAAGTTTCACCGTGCCGTCGTATACAATTGTAATGCGTATCTACATGTGTATATCTTTGCTTGGTGTCGTTGGACTTGAAATTTCATGCCGGCCGAGAAAGTTTGTGGCGACAGACTGTCGGGTCTGATATGTTGGTGGAAGAGCTTTGGTTTTGTAATATGCTTTGCAATATGGACGGAACATTTTATTTTTCTTACAAGTTGGAGATTTGGGTATCGACCGTTTAAATAACAAACTGCTCCATAATCAGTGTAACCCGAACTCATTGATTTCATAGGTTTAATTGGTTATCTCTAATATTAGGTGACTAAATATAAAACTTGCTGGTTAGTATTAGCGTCTCCACTGATAAATATTATCTAACCCCAATCAGGAAGCTCTTTTTAGGGGTGTGAGGAAAGATAACGATAAGGAAAACTATTCCGCCTTCTCGATTCGGTAGGGCCACATTATTAAATGATAGCGATATCAACGATTGTCTCACGCAATATCAAGGAACAAATGATCGCTGAATTTCGCAAAACGTTTAACAGTTTCGATTACGTCACTTGCTGCTATGGAATAAAGTGATGTGTGCCGTAATAATTACTACGTAATGGTCTGACGTAAACACGCGAAAATATTAAATACGCTTATATATTTATGAATGAATTGGGAGCTGATGACGAATTTCCCTTTTAAGTTTTGAATGCTTGTCAATAATCTTTATCATATTTAGTTCGGTGCCTTAGTCAGGCATATAGTCATTCCTGGTTTAATTACATAGAACATGTATAAATATATTTTAATGCATTCATCTTGGTTTTGGACAAGTAACATTTTTGTATTCATCTTTCACAGATGGACAAATATTATTATAAAGGTATTCTTGCAAATGGTGTGGTGTTAGCATTAGAATGGATAAAGATTTAATTTCTCTAACAATTTTTCTGATATTTGTTTTTCAGTAAAGTACCATTAGCAACAGTCTGTGTTTTGACAGTTCCCGGTTTAGCTGCTTCAAAAGAACATACTGATAGTTTTGCAAGCCATTCAATTTTTTAAAGATCCAAGTATTTGAAAGTCTTTTCCATTTTCATAACACTGAGCTTTATTTAATCCAGCTGTACTCGCTCTTTTCACAACCTCAACAATATGGTTCACACAATCTAGATGATTGTTTTTCTATCGCACTTGAATTTAGTATGTCCAGGTACCATAAATTCAATTCAATACTTTCGTAATAACCGTAAATTACTAATATAGGTAAAATCAAATTGTAGCATCATTTTTATTTTGTCCTCCCGCATTATCACTAATGCTTTTCAATCTCTTAATTCCATTGAATACCATGCTTAGTGTACCATTGGGACGTTTGCCGATAACTTCGTCTTTATCGAGAATATAATTAATTTGTTCTTGTCTTGAATACCAAATAAATGTACTTTACGCGGCCTAAGATACTTGTTGATCAAAATGTGTGAACACTTTGTGCTCAATCATAACTGTAATGAGCGGTAGCATCAATATCACCTTTACCCCATTACAAGGCAATTCTCATCTACCAACTTTCTTTGTTCTTCTGCTAGTTTCGTATAATACTTTCTCTCTGATTTAGATGTTCTTGTGAATTCTTTGCTTCTTTTTCCTTGCTATAAGCCGTTCCGAAATCGTTGACAAGTATCACATAAATCCATTCTTGGACTCATAATTTGAATGTAAGGTGTTAATTGGTGTCATAACTCGCGGAATGCATTTTAACAATTTCAACGTGTTATTGTCTTCAAGACTTGCGATAAAATCGCGATAGACCGATTTATTCCTCGATTCTGCTGGTAAAAATACAAGCAATTGGGTAATGCGATTAACATTCTACCAGGACTTGGTAATTCTCGGAAAATTCTTCACGGCTGCAGTACCGTTTTTGTCAATGGTTATTTTGGTCTTCCATTGCAGTACTTTTTTTTTTTTTTACATATGCGGTATTATGCCATTCGTCGCTTAGGTGATCTCCCCCAAGAGAGCTTGAAACGCTTCACGTAATTTGGCAAATTTTTTTTTTTGAATTACAACCTATCTCCAAGAAACGCATGGCTTTTTCATATTCGTTATAATTATAAATTTCCATATACGGGCATTCCTATATCATTTTACAATTTTCTTTAATATGTTCATTATGCTAAACTTATCAATGTCAATCGTATATTAATTGCATTTAAATTGAGCAAGCTTCAAACCTCCTCATTATTAGTAAACAAGTTCTCATTATGTGACGTCTAGCAATTTTGAACCTTGAAATCTTTCAGTGGCGGTTCGAGTAATCATTCTGTAGTGTTATGTTCACTTTGGCTTTTGATAAATTGTTGTATCACACAATGTATGTCATTTCATCTAGACCTTGATTCACGGCCAACTTATCAAGTTTACCAGCATAGCTGCAACTGAGAAGGGCTATGTTTCAAGGGTTCGGGCTTATCTACTTTTATGATCCATGCTGTATCTTATCCAAACACTCAAAATGAGCTGATTAACAGGTTTTGTAAATATCGCATACAAGTCACACAAATTGGGTAGTCCGAATATTTGATAAATATTTTTACAAGGTAACGACCGAGTAATGGATTTATTGAGTCATATTTGCGTCTTTCTCAAGTTTTCCCGAACTACCTTTTATGTACACGATTCTACCATCTTCGCTTGTCAATGAAAAATCCAACACCTCCCATCTTTGATCGTAACCTCTACGTACTGAATGAAAATGAACCCTGCCCTTTCCTACAGCCAAGTTATCAGTTAGAGTCGCATGAGGCGATAAATACGAGACGTGTGTATGATCAATCTAACCTTTACTTCCTTTGACATCATAACTTATATTAATCTTTCCTTTAAGATGGTTTACGGATCCGGAAATCCACGGCCATGATGACGCGAAGTCGATGTTATCACCCAAGACTTCTTTTGCCTCTTGATCATATTTGACATGGAAAATTGAATTCTTTACGATGCTAGATGCTTGTCGTTGATGATTAAATGCGATCGTGATAAAAGCCGCCCAAAAGGATACACCAGCCAAACCAAATGCTATGTATTTTGGGGTGTTATTTTTGATTTCAGGAAGTGGTCTTGGTTTTTGTACGGTCCTTGTAGACGTTGGAATTCGTGTTGACATCAAACGTATAGGTATTACATGACCGTAATTATATTGATAATATTTGGAAAAGAATGCTTTTGTTGGGTTAGAAGAACCTTGTATGATTCGTCTCATAGGAGAGGACAGGCAACAACGAGACATTACAGGCGAGGAGCTTTTAGATTCCAAGCATCTGAGAAAGGGTTGGATTTGTGTAACTCGCATTTTCCAGATACGGAAAAGAGGTGCGCAAATTATTTGCACTTCGAACGCGTATATGTTTTCATGTACTAGCTGTCAAAGCGATTGTCAATAAAAATCGAACACGTACGTGTCGCGCAATATGGATTAACACTTGCGGTTGTTTTAAACTATCTCGAATACTCAGCGCAAGAATAGTTTCTATAGAAAATTTATGACATTGGCCAAACCAAGAATTATGAAAAATTATGGTCAAAGAATGGAATTCTGTTCCTGTAGAATGTTGAAAAGTATTCAAGATAAAAAACCAGACGCTGAAGTCAACAAATATCGCAATGTCGCCTCTTCGACCGTTCCAAACTGCGGCGTAGCTGCACAGCAGATCTATACTCAATCGGCCTCGATAATCACGTACCCATAAGATTCACTTCAATACATCCCTTTATTCTCTTCCTCCACATGTAAGTAGATAGATAAAAACAACTTAAACTGGACTTTAGCAAGCACCAACGATGTTTTCGCAAAAAGTTCCAAATGTTGTGTGACTGCAGAAGAGCGATAATATCTGTATTAATTAATGATGGGTTTGTTTGACTGCGGAGGAAGATTTTATCATGTGACTTACTTATTTGCTGTAACAATATCCTTCTCATGGCCATGGAAGGGTTTTGACGCGTTATGGTATAGCCCGCCAAAACACTTTTCGACATCCTCGTAGCGGCACTTGTTTATATCGCAGCTTTCTTTCTGTTCGTCAGAGAATAAAATCTTCTTTTTCTGCGCAAAAGCTAGTAAGACTACTGCGGGATGTATCGTGAATGTCTCTGCAACTTACCTGAGCTCGAATAAACTGAGAACGCCTCTTACGTTCGTTTTGTGCGTTGCTCGTGTCTGATTTTTGTATTTGCGTCATCGAGCTCGTTCTTTACGTTAGCAAGATCGCGCAGCGCTTTTTTGGTTTCGTCCTTTTCGCGTAGGACCATCTGGAATGCGGCGTTGTTCACATCCGTTACTAGTTTCATGATATGTGGATATACTCCAAAAAAGAATTCGCTTGTGAATGTAAGCATTTTTCGTAGTGTATTGGTAGATTTGTTTTATCAGTTTAAACGATGTTCTGAAGTAAGTTAACCAGTGCTGTTTTTGTAATAAAATCAATCGCGCATTAGTCACGGGTTACATTATGAAAAGGTCTAGAAAGTTCCCAATAATAAATAGTACATCATTGATTAATTAGGCTAATTTTTTGCTTCTGAAGTCAAAATTTTATACCAAGAGTTAGTTAACAGGATTCGAGCCCAGCTCGATTTTAATCTTAAATTCTATGATTTACTGTATATATTAGAAATACAATCAGGCAGGCCTATAACGGTAGAATCAATGAGTATTCATTTTTTAAGCTTAGAATGCAATATTCATTACCTACTCCTTGAGCTCCATGAGCAAATTATTTGGTCTGCGCGCCCTTCTTACTGTTACTGCTGAAACAATAATACTATAATACCTTGCTGGTAGACTATCATGATAAGAACCGTATAGAAAGAAATTCAATGTTTGTCATGAGATATTTGTGGTTTTTTAAGACTACAATAGATAGTTGATACAATTAATCCCTGTTATATTGAATGTCAATGTTGTATTCAATGGCAAACAACCATTTGTAAATTTATCAGTTTTTATGTAAAACAGAGTACAAAAATGCAAGTGACTAGTAAATCGCAAGGTTTTCTCTGTCTTGATAAGGTTGCTGAAGCCATTCTGAAGACAGAATTCAATCTTAAAAGTACATATGTATATGGTTGGAAGTTAAGAAGTCAAATTCGCATACAGTCAATAGAAGTTCAAATAATTGATCTTTCAGGCTGGCAATTAGTTAATTGGATTCTTACCCTGCACCGTTCTGATTATTACAATTTGACAAAGAAACAAAACCACATCTTTTAAAAGATGAGATACCTCAACATATTCTTGAAACTATTAGAAAGCTTCCTAATGAACTGGTAGTTACTCGTATGCATAATTTTTATATTTTTGAAATATACACTAATTATTGATTCATTTTTGTTGTGGATACAGATTTAGCCTGGTATGTATAGGAAGCGGACGTCAAACAATTGTTTCAAAAGTCTTAATGTTAAGTTAACGAGTATGATACAAGTTACAGTATTTGTGCTCATCGCGCATAAACGACGCGGTATTCGTGACCCTGACAACGAACAAACAGTAGTTGTGGTTGCTCCAAAAGAGGTTTTGTTGAATTGCATAAAGCCCATCCAGATCAGAAGACATTTTCTTAATGGCAATGGATCTGAAATAGAAAATTAAATCTCATAAAAACTTTCTATCACTGAGACTTACAAACATTGTTTGATAGTCATTCAGAAGAGCTGGCGCATGTAGAGAGGATGATAACTACATTTACTATCATTAGAGGATATGGTGATTACCAATACTTCCCAAATCTATCACTGATGCAGTAATGAATACATTTTTTCACATCCCAACGCGAAGTATCACCAGTCTTAGACTCGATAGTATGGAGTCACGGTCATCATCTGATATCATGATAAATATCCAAGGAAGGCAATTATTTGCTTGCCTGCGACTTGGTAACGGATGTGTTGTGTGTTTTTGTGTGCTGCCATGTTTTTGTGAACACTTTAGATATTATGGACAAGAAAAGGAAATTAATATATTATCGAAAGTCATCCTTGTGCAAGGGATCGTCAGTAGTGCTAATATCTTTTATCCTTAGTCTCGGAAGGGAATAAAGTTCAATGGGCATGGCCCTGACACACACTCTGCAGGCATGTGGTAAGTAGTTGGTTCTCCGCATTTGTGATTATTGTTAAATGCAATGGAGAATGACTATTTTTAGTTATGTAGCTAATCTTCGCCGATGAATACCATTTCAATGCTGTATATTGGGGTATATGTCTAATTGCAGCATCATTTCTTTGAAACCCATTCCTCTAATGATATGGATTCGCGTATAGTAAAGGGGTAATCCTGCAAATCACCAGATCAGATATGCATTGGTGTGCGAAGTAGATTTTCGGATGTACTACAATTAGAAGATCATGATTCGTCTCATACACTTGAATAATATACTTATATGGCAGACACATGGCACATGTTCCATCCTTGTAAATTTGAATCAACCATTGCATAGCCTGAGATTAAGAACGCCATAAGGAAACAGTTGCAAGCCACACATGGGCATACTTGATGGTAATCCTGACTCTCGGCTAAATTGAATCCCACCTCGCCTGTGGCTTAGCATGCATTTCACGCAAAATTCACAAGATAAATCAAGTTTAACGATAACATAATAATAATAACGATAACATAATAATAATCATGTTATTGGTAACGAATGATGGATAGTTTAGAGTCCAATACAAGTCACCAATTAGATTCTTTGTTTAATCTTAGCAACATATTAATATTGTTTGCGCCCAATACCAAATTGCCCTTTTAGGACGATTGGGACTCGATAGCAAAAAACCAGATATATGCGGAAAATTGGAAAAAGCAAGGTTTCCTTTAGTAATAATGATGGGAATGGATTTATTTTGAGTATGCAAATGGCCAGAGAGTAGAAGTGGCAAACAAACCTTAATTGACCCCTGCAGTACACAGCAATTGTTTACGCAATCGCAATTACATTTCATATTAATACATTAACCACAGATGGAGAAGTTGTTTCCCACTGATTGGCTGTTGTAAGCATTGTTTCAATTTTTTAGTGACGTCAAAAGTATGTTGCTAAGTTCTTTATGTAAAATACAATAACACGACGTAATTGTTATACGTAACTAAGCGTTTTGTGAGAGGTCGCGTGCCAGTCACTGCATGCAATATTCATGTGGTTGGGAGATGGGATGTGCTGTTGTCATAGTCACATATATTAGATCAGATCATAGTCATAAATAGAATGTGACTCACACACAAAGGCAAAGCTCACTTCCCCCTTCAACAATGGTCACACGACATGGCGCCTATTACTATTCACCGATTGCTCTCTTTTTTAATTTCATTTCTCCTTGTTACTATCATGTGGTTACTGCCCCATATAGAGGATATGAGTAGTTCCATAAGCTAAAGAGCAAGAGTTCAATAAAGCAAAGCCGGCACACTGTTGCCTTCTTTCCCCTTTCTCTCTCCCTTTCCCCTTCCCCCTTCCCTTTCCCCTTCCCCTTCCCCTTCCCTTCCCCTTTCCTCTTCCAAGGGCTAAATTTTTAGACCGGATAAAAAGATACTCTGCAACTTTGAAAGTATTGCAAGTCTGCTACTTGCAGGCGCTTTTCGCAAACCCCCATTATTTCAGGATTAAGACCAATCTTTGGGGATAGCTCTGGTTTTTTTTATACACCGAGTTAATAGGTTTATGTTTGTTTGATTAGAATCAAAGAAGACTGGGTGTGTGCGAGTGGTCATTGTATGGGAAGTAAGGGAAAAGCCCAAATGCATGTTATATTAATAGGAACAATAGAAGAGCAAATATTATTTTGCATATTTATTTGAACAATAAGAATGCTCTTACAGTATTATGTCATATGTGTATCGTCTGTTTGTAGTATGCGAGGTCTGTTTTTCGCGGCACACTGCCAATAAATCGCACTAGTTCTTCCGACGCATATTGACAATCCACAACATGGGTCTTATCTTTCATATCTACCATCATTTGTGCGCTTATCGATCTCGATTAATACATTTTTTTTTTCCTTCGCTTTGACATAATGGGGTAGAGGCTTCGCTTCGGTGCATCATTTTTTATTTTTATCCGTCACTTGACCCTTTTGTACGTACCCAGGTGTAACGCCAGTCAAAGCGACATAAAGAGTTTGATCCATTATATGAATATATTGATCCTTGTAAAGGCAAATAATCACGCTGCATTTAGACTAACTAAGAGATCTTCTACATCTTAATGGCTTCTGATTAGCAATAGACGGAAGGCCGAAAAAGCGGAAGACTGGCAAGCAAGTAAAGAATAAGAGTATAGGGGGAAAAACGCGAGTATAACGAAGAATAAATATCGCGAAAAGAATGTGATTTGTAAATAAGGTAACATATGTTTGAGTTTCACATTACATATGATAACACAATAGAATTACTCTATTAATTTTATATTAATTACCGGTTTTCATTATTTTATCTGATATTATATAAATTATACATGGTGATGGCACCGATAATGAGTAACTTTATATTCGAGTCCTTCCACTAGTCTCCTTTCCAATCGTTCCTTCCTTTTCACCTCGGTCAACCGTTTTCCTTCCCTTGTTCTCTTTCAAAACAGCGTCCCTCATACTACTACAAGCGCACGCACACTTATATCGCTCGTATTCTCCCTATCTATCTATCCCAGCCTTTATATATTCTCTCTTTTCAGGCAAAGTTACTACCCGGGTCACTTCCGCCAGTAAAAGCGATTGCTTGTCTGCTTCTTTCCGTTCTTCCTAGCTGGCCTCTCAAAATATCATTATCCAAACATTCCAATCTGACCAAAGATACGTTAATATAATACATATATGGATTGGAGGAATATAACGACGAGCGAGGTATTGGGTAAGCATACGAATGACGAATGTTAGAGTTGGTTGTGACAAAAAGTGTGCGGGGTTCTGTCTTGTAACAATATCGACTAGAAAAAGCACCGTGGAACTATTGTCATTAACTATGCAGAACAGAACAGAACAGAATACTTACTTTGTCTCTGACATCTCTTTCTCTCTTCTCTCTTCTCTCTCTGTATATTACATATCTATCGTCATACTGTCATACCTGTCTTATCTCCTCCATGTTAAGGTTACACGTCGATATTATGTTGGCTAAATGCACAATTTCCGTGAGTGTGTTACCGATCAGACTTCTGATCTTCTATTGTTATTTCTAAAATTAGTACTGATAACACTCGAAGGCGAGTTAGATATTTAGAGCTAACCGTTAATGGATTTGAGTTCACTTTGCCCACTTTAAAGAATTATTACTGAATTCTATCATATCTACATACCCCCCCCCCCCACCCCTTTCCAGTCAGATCATAGCGAATTATCATAACAAGTCAGCGGATGGACTGAGTCTACCGTTTTTATTCAACTGGCTGTTAGGAGATATTGCAAACTTTATTGGATGTATATGGACAGAGCAGCAGCCATTTCAGGTAACTATAAAATTTCATTATTAGAGGTCACTTTTTATACCGCGATAACAACTAATTCGTGTTACTTATTTTCAGATATACCTAGCTCTATACTTTTGTATAGTCGACTTCTGCCTATTTTTCCAATACTTTTACTACAAACGCTTTTACTCTACCCAGGTGGAAGAGATATTGTGCGACGATGATGTCTTGATGGCAGAGGGAGGTCCACAATGGAGACAATATAATACATTTCCTATAAAAAAACCGGCCTCCCGGCAACGAGGGTAAGCGAGTCTTTTATATATCGATTGATGGATTCACTTTGATTCTTTAAAATTTTGCTGAAATTTAATGGCCTCTTTTTTTCCCCCTTTTTTTTTATACATACCAGCACTATACCATTATTTGCCGTTTTTTTTTTCACTCTCCGTTCCCTATCATACCTAACTTCGTCCGGTCTCACAACATCACACTCATCAATATCTCATTCCAAACGAGACGCTGCGGTGGTATCTTGGGTAGGTATCCTTGGAGCATATTTCACGGAAGATGGACAATATTTTGTCGGAAGAGTCATGGCCTGGACATGTACAGTTTTGTATTTGACTAGCAGGATGCCACAGATTTGGAAGAATGTGAGTTTCGATGACGCGGAAGAGGGGTGGAAAGTGAAAACAAAAATTGTTGAAATGAAACGTTAACATTTATTTCGGGTCACGTTTGTAGTTTGAACGGAAATCAGTTGAAGGCTTATCGATATTCATGTTCATATTCGCTGCGCTTGGAAACTTGGCCTATACTATGTCGATATTTCTCTATGATAAGAAGGAGGATGACTTCTACCACAAGGAATTTCCCTATATATTGGGAGCATCAGGGACGTTGACGTTTGATATAATTATCTATATGCAATGGTGGAAATATCGAAACAATCGTCCTAAGCGTCGGTGAGTATCTATATTACGATCGTGAACTGTTGTTGAAAACAGTTACATAAAACATATATATTAATAGATCTAACACAAAATTTTGCTTTCCTTTCATCGTCTTAGCTTTTCCAGTCTTGTTGTATATGACATCGAAAACAATGCTTACCTACCAGCAACAATCCGCGATGCAAGAAGCAGACTACTAGCAGACCAACATTGATGTAATGCCGTACTCCTTATTAATACATCAGACAAGAGAACTTATTGAAATTGACCGATGGTGAAATGGGAAATTAATGACTTAATGATTATGATGATAATTATTTCATGTGAAAATGTGCAGTTATGAAGTTATTATTGGAAGCGGTTACGAACAATTGATATTTCTTGTTTGCACTTTTTATCAGTATAGACTTTTTACGAACGAAAGTCAAAGAAAATTCTCTTTTTTTTTTTTCAATTGAATTTTCACCAAAAATTAAACAGTCGATTACAGCACATTGTATATTTATATTAAGTGCTAATCTTTAATTAATTATCAAATCTCTAAACTGTGAGAAGAACCGCTTGTAATTAGTATTATATGGAATAATTATTAAATACAGAATTAAATGAATTCAAAAAGTGTGTTATTTGGTCATTTGTGACATTTTGGAACGACAGCGAAAAAGTATTAATCACTATCGTATAATTTATTTAATTTTACTTATCGAATGTTCATTTTTTACATACTCGTATAGATTACACATATACTACAGAAAGGAAATCACAGTAAACTAATGTCTAATGTCCATTTATCCGATGCTGCTCATCATACAGTATATCTTAAATATAATATACATTCCTAATCCATTTATAGTATGATACATTGTCTCCTATTGAACAAAGAAGAAAATATGTGTATGGGTTTACTGTTGTTTTAGTTAAATAAACGGTCAAAAATGCAAAACAGAGAAAAAAAAAGGAAGAAAAAAAAAGAAAAAACTTAAAACAGGTCACCGGACTCCCGAGATGAGCGAGATATGATTAGGAGTTTGCCGTCGTCTCCTGCCACATAAATTTGATTATCACTCAAAGCTATGCTGCGGCCAACGAGTGGAATGTCGTATTCGGAGTAGAGATTGAGACTTTTGAAGTAGAAATAAAGATGAATCAGTCTTTTGATTTAATGTTTCTTTCACCATTAAGTTCTCATGCACGATTACCACAATTTTATCGATATGCACCCACCTTAGAGCATCATATATGAATATTTGTCCCTTGTCATCGGACGTAAGCAACACATTCCTCTCGGTTGATATTATCATATCATTCAACTTGTCGGATATTTCAACGTAATTGAGTAATTTCCCGTTGATACTATAGGTATGTAAATAGTATTCACCCTAAATATACAGAAGATAATCAGTTGATAATCTGAACTTTTGGATCGTAATGTGTACAAAACTTACATTATATTCGGTATACAGTATAAGATTTGCGTCTTTGCTGATGCAAACGATTTCCACCGACGATTCAGTATCATCGAATGGACAAAGCGTACGAACATATTGAGCATTTCGTAATGAATGGACGATACATGTTCCATCCTAAAACAAATTGATAAGGAATAACGCAATTACATGATTGTCGCCCAAATATAACATTAAAGCAAACGGGTCGAATATAAAGTTACCTTGGACCCACTCAACAGAACGTCATGTTCGGCATTGGCAGCTACACAAGTAATCTAAAGAATAGCGATATGGTTAGTATCCATAAATCCTTCTAATATCAAGTTGATGCCTCTCTAATTGATCACCTCACCTCATCATCATGTCCATAAAAAGCATGTACTGGCTTTTTCTTATCAACAAACAAAAACTCATTATCACTAGTTACGTGTACATCCCACGACAGGACTTTGGAACTCCTTGATCCGGTAACTAAGGTCTTGCCATCTTCACTCATAGCAACCGCAGTTACAATGTCCTCATGTCCTGAAAGGCTGTCAATCGTCTTACCGGTCCCAGCTAGGGTTATTTTGACTGTGTTATTCCAGTGGCCGCATGAGATGAGAACTTTGCCATCCTTGCTGACTGCGAAACAACGTGGCGATATTAAGGTGTCATAGCAGAAAGGTGTCATCAAGCGACTATAGAATAGGGGAAGGAAATGAAAGAAAATGCCGTCAGCGTTTGAGTAATAGAAACTTCTACGATTCAAATATGATAATAATGGTTATACTCATTTCATTGATTATCCAATTACTTTTAAACCTTACGTCTTGTGCTCTATCGTCGGATCAACAACAACCGTAAACGGTATCTCTTCGGCAGCGTTATACGTAATGTTATGTCTTCCAATCACGCCTTCTTCATCCATTGTGATGATTTGTTGCAATGGGGCCGTTGTGAGAGCGTCTACATCTATATTTGCCACTGCCAAGTATCTCAGTCTTTTCGAAATCAATTGTACCAGATATCGATTACAATTATCCTTGAACGTCAGAATGTCTCGTTTTAACAAGTTATTTCGGGAATGCCGTCTGGGATGAGGTTTCGTCAAGAGTTGGGTAGGGGTCTGTCCAAAGTAGTAGATTTGTTGTTCAATAGCTTTACGCTCCGCTTCATCACGAATGCTATCTATATTTATTCCACCTTCATAGGTTAGGTAATAAAATAAATTGCGTGCTTTTACGGCCTCTTCACCCGTTTGCTTATAACCGAAAATTAAATCTATTCATCAAAGTATAATATGTTAGATAACTGATCTCGTTGTTCTGTCGGTATATTATAGCTAATAAGATGGTTGCCAATTCCGTTACCTATCCAATGATGCAAGTTCTGAGATACATAATCAGATTCTAGCGCTTCTCTGTGAATGCGAATAAATTCTTCGGGTGTCTTTGCCCATTTGGGCAGCACAACTTCATTGAGACGCTGACCATCTTGTCGAACCTAGTAACAATAATAACATTAATATAGTGTAAAAAGGCCATTCCTATATATGAACGCATATATAAAATCTACTAACCCCGAGATCAAAATTATTATGATTAGTTAGAAACTCTGGTTGATAAAAGAACTCTGGAATCAACTCTCTCACGTCTCCACTAGCATTCAAACATGAGTCCCAAGTTCCAACTATAGAATGAAATTGCCTGTCAGCATGGTCGAATTTACCGCCTTGCAATGCAATATGTACACTCGTATATGGCTCCAATCTAATCAAATAACATGCCACAGTGGCGGCACTAGAATAGTGTGTTCCATATAGAAAGGGCTTAACACGTCCTGTAGGGTCTTCAAAACTCTCGAACCTTTCCACAAGCTGAGCAAGCCTATCTACATTCAAGGCTCCAACAGGTCTAGATAGATCGCGGTAGACACTTGGATCGAATAAATCTATTTCAGACGAGGTATAATCAGATAGGATCCATGGAAACACAAAGTATTGCGTTAGATCGTTAAACGATCTGCCGGCAATGCTGTTTAGATGCATGAGATATTCAAAATTGGATATTTCGTGTTGCTGCCATCGTCGGGTTAAATTCGATTTATGGAATAGGGCAACTGGAGACCGGATATCTTGGTTTATCATATTTGGTGGTCGGAGTGCTATTATTTTAGTGTATAATCTCAACCTGTCTCTAGCCTCTGGAAAGTTGAAAAAGTAATTCGTTTGATCGGTTAAGAACAATTCTATTGCACTTCTTCTGAGCAAGTGCTTCCGTAAGTGAATTTCACGTATGTCTGATATCATCCATTTTTTGTCGCGAAGCATTTCTGAATCCACTATCAAAGACCCATGTTCGATGTTATTGATCTCTTGTAGTAGGGCTTGCCGATCGACGAAGAACGATAATGAGGTTGCTGTTAATTCAATTTTACCCTTGATACTGGACAGTAAAACGATGAGGTTGCATTCAGTTGAGAATATAATCTTATTGGCTGATAAATCGACCGTCTCAACTACTTCATCGCCGGCGATTAGATTCCATTCTTCATCTTCACCTTCATCCCATGTATCCGCTTCGTGAGTAAGCGGCTCATTAGCAGACCACGCATAAGCCCAGGGATCAACAGCAGGAAGCGGGGAGTTGCTTCGAATAAAATCAACCGATTTACGCAATTTATGTATGTTGATGTTCTTTGTTCTATTGGGAGATATTGCGATTGGAGTTTTGTCTCTTTTGGCACTCGCCTCGCTATGCGGGTCGTAATCATAGTTTATGGTAAGTTTCCGTCGCATTCGCGCATAGTTCTCTCTTCTATCCAATTTCCAATGAATCTCCAGATGTTTGCCTTGTGACCATACTCCCCTTTCCTGAGTTAGGTCGTGGAATTTAGATAGCCAAGTTCTGAGTGTTCGCATGTGGTCATTCTTTTTATCTATTTCGATGCCAGTTATGCGGTTATTCTCCTCTTCCCGATAAGCGAGTATGATGGCATATATTTCATTGTCAAATGCCATTTCTGCCTTGGCAACTATTGCTTCTACCTTTGATACCCTGTGATTATAACTATTAACCCTTTTAGCAAATCTGTCAACAATGCCACACACCATTGCGAATTCATCATCGCTGGCAGTCTTCATAGCGGGTACGATGTATTTATCATGTATCATCATCCAATCACGCGAGTTGACAAATTGAACAAATGTGGAAGCAATGAATTTCCCATCTTGCCATACCGAGTCTAATGATTCAATGAAAAACTGACTGTCTCCTAATGGAGCAAGAAAATTACGACATTTGTGCATACTAAAATAATACGTAAATGTAACTTTTTGGTCGTATCTTCCATTGCCAACCTGCGATGTACTGTGTTAACGTAGAAGAAGAAGAAGAAGAAGAAGAAGAAGATTTAGTATTTGAAATATACAAAGAAAAATGACAACTTTCATATATCAATGTGGCGCATAGCATACATATATTATAGACGCAATATATACATACATGAATGCTTCATGTATCTCTCCAATTAACATCAGAATATGCTGTCGAAATATGTCACTTTCCGAACAATAGAATTCTCTCAGATGCTTCCTATCAGCCTCTGTCACAGTCTCGGGTACTCTCACGTGTCTCTCTACGAAGCTCATCAGATTGTCAAGTGCGCTGTCACGCAATGCTTTATCAGATAATGAGATTCCTGCTATCCATCCTCGCAGTTCAATCCTGCAGATGTCGCCAGATTTCTATTTGATGGATAAATTGGTTAATATGAAGTTGTTTTTTTTTGTTCCGAATCAATATTAAATATTAATGCGACTGACCAGCTCACTCTTAATTGGTGCTTTTGTTCTCCAATAGTCAGACTTATCAAGTGCATCAACTATCTCTTGGAATAATTCTGCCAATTGATAACTTTCTTCCCATGGATTGCTAGCACTCTGGAATATCATATCATCGTGTTTCAATGGACTCGCAAATGGTAAGCTTGATTCATATTTTTGGAACGTGGTGTCTTCAAAGCGCATAGCGTTCAGCGAAGACATACTAGGTTCTACGTAGCCAATGATCCATATATTAGCAATCCGATCACATAATTGACAGTCATCACAGGACGATATCAACTCACCATAGACGGATCGAAATGATGATGAGTAACTCCCAGGTGGTGATCCAATCGGCTGTCCATTTGATCGTAGCCTCTGTATCACTGATTGAGATAAATCTCGATGATTAAAGAGTATATCCTCGGTTAACGCGATCAATTTGATTATATTTTCCTACAGAGAACAGAAATACGAATGTTATTTATTGGATATCAAAACTATTTATGCACGATATTAGCAATGATATGTCTTATCTATTTGTATATTACCAGCTTTACTGCTCCGAGAGACGTTAATGAAGTCTTCCTAATGTCGTGCGCTATCCGTGACAATATCTGTGATAAGAGTGCCCGAATGACAGCCATACAATCTGGCCTCTCACTTATCCATACCATGACTACTGTCTCCTCAATGACTCTGACAGCCCTATTCTTGGTATCAAAAAGGTTCCATATTACACAAGAGATAAAGTCTAATGCCCAGTCACCAATGTCCTTATTTCCAGAACTCATGACAAGCTCCTCTTCACCACCGAATGTAGGAATTATGCGGACAAGAAATCGTTGCCATGACCATATACAATCCAAGTCAGCACAATAAACAGAACTATGCTTGAATATCAATGTCAATTCCTCAAGTATTTTGCACTGTACTAGACGTTTAATTCCGTGACATTGTAATAATGCGAGAATAACGACTATAATTTTCATATTCTTCAACGGAAGAATGACTACATTTGATGATTGGCTGCCACCGTTGCCATACAGTAACTTTGGTTGCTGTTGCTCTGTTGCCCACCCTAACAATGCATTGTATATGCCCAACGTTAATGGTGCTCCATCTAATAACTTGACCAATAGCAATGGATCCATATCCTCGAAGCGCAACTTCTTCACAAATTGCGGTGGTGTGCTCTGACATGTGATCAAGACAATTATAAGATTAATACATGATAAGCGTATATTCTCTTCACGCCTTTTTAATAGTTCACATAGCAATTCGTATCCACCGCACGAATAAATATTATCAACAATGTTCTTATTGGAATTGCTTTGGATAATATCGCCGAGCAAGGTCAAGACCTCACAGATATGTTGATCGTCTCCGCTGACGGATACATTTCTAAAAATGCATGATATTTCGTCCTCGGTGATACTATCCTTGATATATCCGCGGATAATCCCCAATACCATAGTCCGCAGCTCTTTCAATTGTGCCACTTTAGGTCTAGTTGCACCAGTTGCTGCGTGTTTCTGTGGCGCTGATCTATCGTTCTGCTTATACCAATACACCGTATCAAGAGCCTCAAGGAAGAACTGAACTCCAAAATTCTCACGCGACATCTGCTTGCGAGAATCAGCAAAGTTCTTCAAAAGTTGGACGCAATATTTCTGAATATCCATCGAAGCATACATCCATAATCTAAATTCAAATGTCAAACAATTATAGACTTCTCGGCAGATTTCCTCGTTGGATGAAAGCGCAGTGGCTAACCCAACCATACTCTGGAATGCTGTTATAGAAAGATGTTTAGGGCCTACTTGTTGTAATAAAAGACTAATAACTTTGATCCCGCGTGATTCGACAATATGATTTTGACTTCTGATATTGTTCTGTAAGAGCGCAGTAATAAGAGAAAAGAAGGCTTTACAAGGACCTTCTAACGCGAAAAAATCATCCTGTAACTCCAACGGTTCCTGATTAGCAGACAAGTCCATATGATCGAATCTCAAGATCATAGGGAACAGCACTTCAATATCACCTAATGATCTTATCGCACTCTGCAAACTCAAAGTTGAACATTTTTCGGTTTCGAAAAGAGTACCCGACTGTGGTCCGCCAGTTGTTTGGTTTTTAGCGGCTAAATTAAAGCACGTCTGCCCGTCTGAAGCCTTGACATGAAAACTAAAAATCATACGAGTCGCATCAAATACGCTGCCATCCAGTTGATGAGACGATAATTGGGTTAGGTAATTTCGTCCTAGGCCATGAATATATTGTATTTGATCTTTGGTAAGGGTGTCGGCAATTAAATGGAAATCTGTCATTTGTCCACGGAATGAATTCTCAATCACGCAGCTATTGAAAACTGCATCTGCTTTATGTGTTGTCTTGTCAAACTTCTTTTGTGACAATGATGCCCCAATTGCACAACGATTGAAAGATTCGTTGGGAATGTCTACAGGATAATCCAGTTTTGTCTTCCATGTGATGGATCCATTGACGACAACTCTTAACTCTGATGGACTTGATTTCCACCCACGCCTAGCCGGGCTATGAGTGATTACGACAAAATACCACCGATTGTGAGTAAATTTGAGAGTCGTCATCGCTACTGTTGAAACATTTTCACCTTTTCTGCATTGAAAGCGTAGTTCATTATTCTCAAAGTAAGCCTCTATACCATCTCCAGTATCTTTAATAAATGAAAACATTCTTGGAGCATAGTAGCTATCCTTGGTCTGATTTTTTGATTGGTCGTTTGATTGATGTTTGCAGGCATCCAATTTGATCCATGTGAAAAATGAATAGCCATTTATAGGAAATTTGTCAATATCTTGTAATATTAGACCGGATTCAGTGCCTTTGAAGTAGAAAAAGTCCAGAGTGTTCTCTTTCTGCGCAATCGAATATAATAGCTTGACCAATAAACCATGATACCAACGAGCATCCTCTGTGCGCGAAGCCGTTTCATTCTCGTGGCAAATCATGTTCAGTATGAGTTTGATTTCTGATACTCTGACCGAGTACGCACAGACAATCTCGAGTAGTCTAATAGTACATTCTACAACAGAGCGACTTTGAAGAGTAGTCCATATCATGGTTTTAAGTAATTTACTGGTTGTCCCCGTTTTGAATAAAATCCACTTGTTCATATCGCAATATTCAGCAAGGTGAATTAGTCTATTTAGAAATGTTTTTTGAAGAGAGTCATCAAAGTCAGACAAATGCTTTATTAACATATCCAGGGTATGAGTGTCCTTTATCACAAAGTTACGTCCATATTCTTGCCATTCTTCGCTCTTAGCTATAAGCTTCGCTAGTCTCTGTACTATCTCAGGTACAGCGCTATCAGGCTCTCCGTTGACTTGTGGTATGGAATCTGAGGCCGACTCCATAAACGTGGTTGACAGAATAAGAAGAAACCCACAACCAAAAATACCCAGCTAATAATATACGATCGGAGTTCATTTCGTCTGCGTAGTGTTGATCAAATCTAATTACTGATGGCAGAAAGTATACGGGACCCAATAATATTAATGTGTTGCCCAGATATGGCGAATCCGGTGACTATTATTATGCCTGATAATATAGTTTATCTCACGTTCAGGAAACCTAGTTTTCGTATTTGACGTTAAACAAAACTTAAAATGGAATATTATTGGAGATTGTCATATGGTAATACAAACCTTATCTTATCTCCAAAGCGTCTTCTATATACCATATTCTCGAGTTGCTAGCTAGCGTGTCGCCAAAGCTGAAGAAAATTGAATGTGTTCATACGACAACGACTAACATTTGGTTCACTTTCAAAAGTCATTGCAAGCCGCTGTCATGTTCTGCAATTTCGTATCGGCATATAATAAAACAAAAATATATTCAACCGTTAACATTCCCATGTATGTAATCAGTGTTCGGTAAGACGAAGAGCAACGATAAAGTGGGTAGGTAACAAGACGAATAGAACCGGGAGCGAGGTTTTACAGCGATACAACGCAGACCCAGACAGATGACGAGTTGTGATCGGCGTAAAATATTTATAGCCTTATCACCACCACCAAGGCTGTTTATTATATGCTGAAAACGCGAGCTTAGGATCTCAAAGGCATCAGTGAAGACATCGCTGACATTCCTTGATGACACATTCCCACGAGTCTTATACATTCTGTACTTTGAAACATTCGCTGGTACATTACCCTTCACGTTATGATCCTCAACGAAAATTGCGAAATAGTGTAGAGAGAGTGGGTTATGGTAAGGGGGTTCTTCTTACATTAGAGCAATAAGCTATAATTCACAAATAAATTTCCATCACAGTAGGAGTGATAAACGCCTACGAGTTTCGATTATGATAAGCGATTGATCTAGATTATTGACTATTAACACGACCATCGCAATAGAAGTTATGATCTTTGATTTTACTCACGTAGACACTCATAGAAGTACATACATATAATAGAATGGTTCTACAGAACATGAAAAAGGCTGAAGCAGCTTGCCCAATTCCCCCAGTCCAACCTCCTTTATCGTATATAGATGGCGGAATCCTGGATGAAAGCTCATTCTATTTTACTATTGGAACGCGCTGTGTGTATTAAATGGATTTTGGCAAATCATGCGTTTGTGAAACATTCTTGATAACATCTATCTACACGCGAAGAGTTTTTTCCCTCTTACTCCTTCACCTTCACACAAGCTTAAATCATGGATGTAATAACACCACGAGTAAACTATGGTCTGCTTAGTAGGTACAAAGGACGAAAAGTACGATTAGTTGGACGCGTAATACAGGTGCATATTCTAACGTTGAAAGCTGAAGAGTCAACGATTGCAGTAAGCAAACGTGATACTCCACCGCCATATGCTTATAGCTCATTCTCTACTTCCTAATGTTCATATACACATTCTAGGAAACTAGCCATACTGTTGTCGTGGAGGCATGTGACAAAGGACAAGTGTCCGTTCGCTTACGACAGGTATATATATTTTTTAATGAGAAAGTACTTCTAATTTGAAACAAAATCTTACTCAATCGTACCTTATAAGCCAAGTAATTTCACAACGTACGTTGAATTTGTTGGTCGAGTCAATACTGATTTGAGTATCAATGAGTTCGTTTTTACCAACTTTGGAGATACTTTCGGTATAGTACCTTAACGATTGAAAATAACTCATTGATGCACATTCGCATTGTCGACTAATTTCGTTCTATGCAGATTTAGATCTTCATAACAAAGTGGTAGAGTATTGGCAGCGATTCCCTGATATATTTCCAACGGAAGAACTCCCCTAAAGTTAACGCATGCGGTCACGCGTTTCAGAGTGACTTTATTTTACAATAAACATCAGCCGCAATAATTACCAATCTCTCCGGTTTGTAATTCTGTGTTATTATATAAAAGCAATTATAAGCATGTTAAGCAATCTATTAGTAATAATAGTAGTTTATTTACATCGTAATTAGGCTCTTCAATCAGTGTCACTATTAAATCTGACCCATTATTATTAGCAACCATGGTTTAATTGCCTGCATGATCAATGTTTGCCACAGAGAATGTTGGCCGTATATTGCTATTAAAAACAAAAGATACGAACAACTCGGAGCAATCGAACATTTTCGTATAATCTCACTAATTCTGGATTGTACATCGGCTTTTATCTTGCCTGCTTTAAAGAAGTTATAGAGCTGACGATTCGTGCCTTTAGAATATATACATACGGATATTATGTTAATATACACGCTGCAACAAATCACACAAGTGAATATTTCACTCCTATGAGCCAAAAGTGCTGAGGTGACAGACAATTACTAATGAAGCTCGGTGTAAATTTCATTTTAATGGCACGACAGCTCATGCATGAATTCAAGACTATCTTTAGTTGCTTTTTACAACCATTACTATATCATGGTAGGATGTTTAATTGGTTAAGATGAAACTGACACAGACTTTTACTTGAAGTAATAATGATATGATATGAAATCAATTTACGTAAAATACGTACGTACCAATACGGCACATTAAAAGCATTTGTAAAAATTGCTTCATATTTAATGTTTTAAATGAAGATACTAAAATTTTCCAGGTATATTAATGCCACCTTATGAAAAACCCCATGGAAGAAGCACAATTGAATAAGTTCAATTGAGAGGACAATAGTATTTCTTTCAAATTATATGAAATAAATTGAATCACATAATAATAACACTGAAGTTGGGTCCAAATTATAATAAGATAGACCTACCATCAATTTGTTCGGTACTTTGTAACTTTTGTTAATTTTATAGTTTAAGGCATACCATAACTCTCGTTAATAAGAGCCTGCCTTCATCACATAAGGAGGTTCTTATTCATGATATTCACGATATTCACGAGAGTTTATGGTAAATTTTATTGCTGGGAAGACTCTCGCCTGCTTACTAGACTTCTCTATTTCTCCCAGTAGTTCCATAATTACTATTCCGCATTTTTTTATTATTGTTCTCAGAAATAGATTTAATTAAAAAAAGTATCAGCATTAAATGGCTGCAACCACTCAAATGAGCTTGGGCAACCTTTAAGTTGTACTTCTTCTTTAAATTCAATTCTGATTTAATATTGCATGCCTCTTATTTATTTACCTGCTTTGGACAAGTAAATATTTAATTATCCGCAAATGGCGAATAATATCCGATTTTCTCTCAAGTTCGCGTTTTGTGTGTCCAAACAACCACCTTCATTAATTACTCCACACTCAAATTCAGTATTCACTAACGGGCGCAATAAAAACACCAGCGTTTTTGCAAATGCGTGTTGTAATTGAAAGTGCACACTTCTCAGCGTGATAATGCAAGCCGAATGTGTAATGAATGTTGTTGGATTTGTAGCAACGACTGTCGACACAGACAACTTTGAATGTTTGTATCATAAATTCTATTATCCTACTTGTAGTAATGCAGAAATATTAGCTGTAATGTGCGCTAACATTGGCATAAACTTTATGGCTATAGGACATTTGGTTATAGAGTTAATTAAAAATCGACCCAACATTTGAGGCGGCACTGTGCGACTTCTCTGTTACTTGATGGTGTTGATTGTACCTTTTCGTCTACTGGTTCAAAAACTGATTTAATGCGCAAATGCGAGAATCGTAAAATGCAGCCAAAGTCCAGATGCATATTGAACAAAGGAAGACATCAACTTGTATGCATTTTCAATATTTATCAAAAGCACATATCAATATAGGAGTACATCGTTGATAAGATTATCTAAACCAATTCGCCCCCAATAATGTAACGCGATCGCAAGTGTTAATGGCTGTTTGTAGAATTCATAGTAATTTTGAAAGGGGGAGGTGGGCGTACGTTACGAGTTAGAATCGACAACAATCTATCTGCGTTCTTATTTGTTCATTCCTCTTTTTTTATTGTTGATTCTGTTTATGTTTGGGCGTTTGAAAATTTCAAAGTTTTAGCCAACCACCAGCCTTCCACGCAATAATCGTACAGCAAGAGTAGTCTCAGTAAACACTATAGTGAGAAAGATGTAACAATAAACTCGTATCGTGTTTGTAAGAATAAGAATAACGAATCGACAACCAGAAAAGTATTTGTAAGAATAACGAATCGACAACTTGGCGGGTCTAAGAACCAATATTAATATAGCTGTTTTAAGTTAGACTTATCAGGCAGCGAGAATTTAACTTTAACTAATAGTATATATAAATTCGTTCTTTTCTTGTTGTACGAGAAAACCATTTACAAGTTAGCGATTTCCTTTACCATTATTAAAGGGGTATCCTATGAGATCATGCAGTATTGATCGAGAACTAACCGAAAATAAAGATCCAATCAGAGGACCTTGATTGACGAATAGCTCACTAACCCGAAATTCATTCGTCGGCCTAATCCAATGACTGACTAGAATGCACTCCAGCAACTTGCATCTTATAATTAAGCGTGAGACTATTAATATTAACAATATTAAGGTTTGTAAATATAAGATGGAAATATAGATATTATTGTTAATATCTTATCGTTGTCTCTTATCTCCTCTGGTTTTTCTGCAGCATTAACTTAATTTGATTTGTCCCGAAGAGTCCCGAGTTTTCACCTTAAAATATCCACCGTTTTCCACCATGATTATCACATTTTTGATAATCATCTGACTGCTCATGCGTTCACTCTTACGAGAGGCTTTTCTCATTCTAATCTTATCTATTGCCACAATTAGGGAAATGATAATAGAAGATCATAGAAATAAGGAAAGAGTGTTTAGCTAAGCCAGCAGGGCAACATTTCGAAAGAAGCATATTCAAAATTCTGTAGTATGATTTGTATACAAATTATTATAGATGGAAATATCGACATCCTTGTTCGACTGATTACAAAGCCGAGTAGTCGCGTATATGTGGATTGACCAATGTCGTAGTTTACCACGTGTTAGCAGCACTATTCATTTTTATTAATAAATAATAAATATAATTACACAAAGCTGATTCAGATCACATTGTTTTCTGTATATAAAAGCAGCCAAGGGTTGGAGCCAACACTCCCAATAGCTTGTAAATATTTCATTCTCTTGTTGCCGCCTCGTCCTTCCCTATCTCCGTTGTTCCCTAACTAAAAAAAACAACACGCGCACGCTCCTATAGCAGCTTTTGTGGGTGACCAAGATCTTGTCTCAGTCCTGATATTGGGCCGAATATTCCTTCTGCTCTATTCGTTTCAAAGTCTGTTACCGTACTGAAATCTGAAAACGAAATGGCAAGATCAAGGCCTACTTATGACAGCATCAAGGACGAAGAATCAGAAACGTTGCTAGATGCAAAGGTTCCAATACGACGTAAGGTATGTGTCCTTCCTTCATGAAAAGAACGTCGAAATAGTGGTTGGTAGTGGTTGGTAGTGGTTTGTGTTTGAGTTCTGGATAATTCTTGTGCTATGGGAATGAACTTTCAGGGGTAAAGTGTAGAATGACGAAATAATTTCCCATTTGGATGTGTAGGACACAACACATGACTAACAACACATAAATGAATACTATTATATTTATATTATCTCATTATAACATTCTATCCCGTTGACAGAAACGAAGAGGAGTTCTTATTATTCTGCTATCAACCGTAATTGCCGCAACCGTATTCATTCTCGCTAAATCATGGGCAAAGGTCTCGACAGGTAACTAGGAAGATCGAGTGTCTGATGATGAGGATTAGAGGATAAGTTAGACGTAATTGCTGCACAATTCGACCAGATTTCCTCCTAACTCTCCCTTTTTTTATAAAAAGACTCAGCAGGTCCCAAGAAAAATGTAATCCTCATGATCTCTGATGGATTTGGTCCAGCATCAGAAACGTACGCTCGCTCGTACTACCAATATGTAAATAAACTTCCCTACAATTATACCACTCCTCTCGATGAGATACTTGTCGGAACCTCTAGGACTAGGTCGTCGAACAGCTTGGTTACTGATTCGGCTGCTGGCGCTACGGCTTTTGCATGTGCTATGAAGTCATATAATTCAGCCATTGCAGGTAACGAAAGCAGGAAAAAACCTGATCGCAAAGTGAAATGAATGAGAGACCGTGATTGTTCTCATGTTCGCGTATTAACAACTTTTCACTTATTCCCCTTGCTTTATTTCTCACCACCCTCGTTTCCTACAAAAGTCGACCCATCAAAGGCAGCTTGCGGCACTGTACTTGAGGCAGCGAAATCCATAGGATATACCACAGGCCTTGTAGTAACATCTCGCATAACCCACGCCACTCCAGCTTGTTTCTCGGCTCATGTTGTACATCGTGACCTCGAAGACATCATTGCTCGTCAACAAATCGGTGACTATGTTCTCGGCCGTCAAGTCGACATTCTCTTGGGTGGCGGGCGTTGCTTCTTCCTTCCTCAAAACGTCGCCGGTAGTTGTCGCCAGGATGATGTAGATGTTTTGGAGATGGCAGATAATAATGGGTTCTCGTATTTACAGAGTCGGAAGGAATTCGATAAGCTTAAGCCGAAACAAAAGCTGCCGCTATTGGGCTTGTTCACCCTGGATCACATGAGCTACGAAATTGACCGAGACAGTAAACTTGAGCCATCTTTGGCAGAGATGACGGCTAAGACCCTTCAGATGTTGACGCATGCTACCAAGAATAATGACAAAGGGTTTTTCTTAATGGTTGAAGGAAGTCGAATCGGTGAGTAAATGGAAATGAAGATTTCAAATACATACGATATACTAATGTTCTGTTATTGGTAACGTCCTTAGATATGGCTGCTCATTCGTAAGTATTCCAATATCGTCCGAATTGGTACCTTTACCGGACTCACTAGCTTGAGTCTAGAATAGGATATTGATTTCATGTCTTATCTTCATTTAGCAACGACCCGGCTTCACACGTACATGACATCCTCGCTTATCACGAAACCATCAAGGTTGTTAAAGATTATGTCAAATCTCATCCGGGCACCATAATGATTTCGGTATCTGATCACGAGACAGGTGGTTTGTCTCTAGCGCGACAAAATTCAGAAGAATACCCCCAGTACCGCTGGCTCCCCGAAGTCATCAAACGGGTCAAAAAATCCGCTTATATTCTCTCGACTGAACTTCTTGCCTACGAAGGCAGAGACAAAGAGCGATTCATCCGGGAGAAGATCTTGTATGGTGGATTAGGGATTGAAAATCCAACTGAAGAGGAAATAAAATGGTTGATGGAAAATAATGATCAGCTTGCGATTGAATTTTATCTGGGTACCATGGTCAGCAAACGTGCGGAAATCGGTTGGGCCACGCATGGACACTCCGGGTTGGATGTTAATTTGTACGCCTACGGAGCGGGAACCGAATCTTTACGTGGAAATGTTGAGGTAAGAGTGACGGTTTGTTTAAGCTGTTAGTAGACTGATCTGAAAAGCGCGACGTCAGAGAAGGTTTAGATGCTTATTATAGCCACGTTCTGTGTCTGTATATCCAACGAGATTGTTATACTATTCTTGTTGCTGACATCAATTTCTCTTCCACTGTCTAGAATACCAATATTGGTGATTTCATCAGTCAGTATCTTGGATTGAATCTTGAAAAGATTACAAACCAGCTTAGCAAGTAAGTAAGGGTTCATAAGTGAAAACATATCTACTTGTTCCCACAACTCACATGTTTGCTCAATATTACTATAGGAACAATGCTTCTTTCCATATGGTTGATGAAGAAACTTTGAACCGCTTAGCTGCCAATGACCTAATTCACTATCATCATCATCACCATCATCATTAAGCGTGCGACATTGAATTTTTTTTAGTACGAACTCCAATGATAGGGATTAATGGCCCTTTGTGGCTATTATTTTATCTTGTTCCTTTGTATTCATTTTGCATCTATTGGCTCATGATTATATTTTGTCCTTTTTATCCTACCTTTCTTTTTGTTTACCTAACTATGCTGGTAAATCGTTTGGTTGATTCTGGTTATAAGATATCCATCGTGTAGCTCAATAAAGACTTTATGCGTGAGAATGGCCGAGTGAGCGGATGTCATGTTTGATACACAGTATTGAGCTCGCTAACTGCATAAAGGCGATCTAATTTTTTTTTCCATTTTAGCTTAATGTGACAGAATTGTGCGCCATATAAATGACATACCTTATGTCGTTCTGAAACAGTTCACGTATTGGCGATCAAATTTGGAAGTCGTACAAAGTAGGGGGCATCAGCAGCTTTCTAAATAGAGTAATACCATATTTACCATATGCATATGACTGCAATTAAGCATACTAATACATGCATAAATAACGCCTTCCCGTATGAGACTGTTATACTGTTAGTATTAGTGATGTTATCTATCAGCCGGAAAAGACTTGTTGCCTTCATAGTAACAGAAGTAATAAGAATTTGATGCAAGATTAATTGATACAGAATTAGCATTTCAAGGATTAATCGTACACCTCGTTTACTTCGGCCAAAAACAATGGCTTATTGGGCAAACATATCTTAATGACGAGAGCGAATATAATAGTTTTAAATCTCATTTTCGCATTTTGCAATCTACGTTCAATCGACCGCTTAGTATCCTACAACAACATCCTAACTATTTATCCATACCCTTTCAAGTTGGCATTGTGATTCAACGATTAGCAAATCCTCTGGCATATCGCCAACTAGAACAAATGTTTGGTGTTAGCCAATTGCTTCTTAGGCATTGCAATGAATATGAAAAAAAAATTTTTTATTTTTTTTTCTTGACTCAATAAATAATGTATGTTCTATCCCATGCACGATAAGGCAAAAGTTTGAATTGTCATATGAAAAATAAACAATTTCCAATTTAGGGATGCCCCTTGATGCCCCACCAAATAACTTCCATTTTATCATCAATTTCCAAATTTGATCGGGGCATCAAGCTGTTGAAAAAGCCCTTAATTAGGTTGTTATTTAGATAAGAAATTAAACAGCATATGTAGCGAGGATGTCTTGCTGATAAATCAATTAATTGATTGAATAAATTAATCTTTAAATGGAGTAGATTGTAACTATACAGTCAACAACATTCCATGTCAATTTAGATAAGTTGTTTTACTGAAACTCGTTCAAAAACCGAGCAGGAAATAAGATCACCAGAGTTGAAATAAATGTTTTAGAAATATTTAGGATAGTGAAATCGACTTCTAAATTCAACGTTTGAAGTGCAAGTTGAATTTAACTACAACAAAGTCAATTCATTGGACTATTATATTCATCATTGTACATTCGATTATATTAATATCTGTAAAGTGGTAATATTTTTCAGTCATTCTTTCTTTCCTGATTATAATTTTCGTTATTATTATTATTATTACAAATATTATATGGATCATATTAATATAATACAAATAAAAAATGAGGAGATAAACAATTGAATAACTATTGCTTCCAGACTGGCATGCCAAGCAGCAAACTCACCTTTCATCTCTAGCCAGCTTCAAAGACAGATTCTTCACAAGCAGCTAAGCAATCACCGGATCCGGTCACCGACAACCCGTCGGGGGAGAGAAAAAGGGGGAGAGAAAGAAAAAAAGAAAGAAATGGAATTAGTTTATATACGTGAAGCAATGCAATACTTACATTATACTTACCCAAAGCCTTCTTCCCGTCATCTAAAAGCTGTGTAAAAAAATAAGAAAAAGGGAGATGTCTGAGAGTGTTCCGGGCATCCCCCGTAACCCACTCATCAGACCCGTGCCAGATCCCTTCACCGCAGGCGAGCACTGGTGAGAATGGTAAGTAGAGGAGCGTCACCAGTGACTGCCCGCCGCCCGATCCAGATCCGCACCCGTCCGCCAGTAGAGGCAAAAGAGGCCACTTGGTCAACCAATTTACAAAACAGCGGTCTGTTAATGAACGATTATTTATCCCCTATTTATCTATTCATCTATCCATTACCGCTTCGTCTATTAAAACAATAACGAATAAGGGAGCAAGAAAATAGCGAATCGCTATAACACAATGAATAGTAGTTCTTCCGATGTCGTCTATGATAGCTTTCTTCTTTGTGTGAGTTCCGGCTCATGGTAACAAGTTGGTAGCTGAGAGAATGCATATTAGGTCGCTTTGTTGTTGAAGAGATTTGGACGTGATGTGCTGTTTAAAGTTATCTTGTCAGAAGAAGCTTTTTCCAATACAGCACTTATTTTTGGCGCGTCGAATAGGTCGATACACCGATCCGAATAGTAATAAAGCAATAAACATGAATTGATCTGACATAAATTATCCATTTTTTTTTGTGTGGAAATCGTCGTTATCAACCAATCTATACAATATACTAGCATCAAAATTTTGTTATATAGTCGAAAGCAGTCCGAGTATAGGCGTCGGAAAACTTTTCGAAATCGAGGAAATAACTTGTAAGTAACTTTTAAGTAGTATAATAGATGTTATAATAGCTAGTTTGGTTGTTTCATGACGCGATTATTTATTTTAATGAAGACGAGAAGACACCTGTTTATTGAATATCTGAACAAGCGTACGTAGATAACAAACTCCTTATTACATTATTATCCTCTTTAAATCTACTCGTTGCGTAGCTGGGTACCGCATGTTTGCTCTTGTGCGAACCATTTCGTCGGTTATTTGGTCAATAATCTGCGTTTATTGAGTGTTAATTCATTGTTTGACGACTTGTTCGTGAGTTGTAGCGAATTGTCGTATTGTAGTATGTGCAATATGGAGCTCTGTTGCGGTGTATATTCCGTTGTGTTTATATCGGCGGTTACGTGGTTGATAAACCGTGTCGTTATGAACACTTGTTAGTAAAGAGTCGGATGTGCGTAATATGGAGTAACAGCAAAGGCATTATTCGTTGTATTTGCGCTTTGGGGGAGGAGAGTTTGTTGTGAGGTGATACATGTGCAATGGAGAGAAGCGTCAAGGTATATACAGTATATATGTACGTATGTGTAGACGCGTGTTTGCGTGTCAATTGTTGTCGCATGCAACCTTGCAATAAGGAGCGTGACTGTTGACCAATAATAAAGCATAAACGGATATCGATATATTGCCTAGTGTAACTCATGATTGTTTCCGTAAATAAGAACAATAGGATCAGTGTAACATTCCGGAGCACACTGATGTAATAATGTGTTACACTATGCAATATATGCTTTACTATTGGTTGTTGTGGCCGACTCTCACACTCCTTACTGCACATTGCCATACTGGATGTATTTGATGGAGAAAGCCGGTGCAAGCAATCGACGCTGTATATCGTTGAAACGTAGATGAAGATAAGAATTACGTTGGAAATGATAATCCCCATATGCTCACGTATTGGCATACTTACTCGTTGTTTATGAAATGCTTTGTCCCTGATTTCGCAAATGAGAGTATCATGATTAGATGCGTTTGATATATACAACTCATATCATTAATCTAAATAACAACCAGAAAAACGCTTACGTGGTCGAGAACAATGTATGTAAATGAGATGCAGCTCTATACACCCCGTATTGGAATTTTGCGTGCTTTATTTGTTTACACCTACGATTGAACGCTAAAAATGTACTAAATCACCTTTTGGCCAATCCTATTAAATATGATAATATTGTGTAATAGTAAGACAACATTAACAACACCGCACTCGACATTCCTGCTAGACTTACTTCTTTAACAACAATCTGAGATCATAAAAAATATACCGGATTATTTAATAAGTTGTTTTCGATAATCCAACAGTATGCCGATAATACTAACTTTATACCTGTTTGATAATGTCTCTATCACTGACAAGAACCATGTCTGGGCCTAACAATCTTCGAGTTAGTTACTATAATATCATGAGGTTGATGATTTAGCATAATTTTACCTATTATGACTACTTTCCCATACTTTGGTCTTAATTAATATTGATACCAATACCATCTAAAAAACAACAGTTAATATATTGGCAGATAAACTAGAAAAAGTTGATTTTTGTAATTTACCTTCTGCCCTTAACGCCTTTGAATAACAGAGGAATCGCGCTTAATGCCGAAATCTTTGGCCCAGGAATCTTGCTCAACGGTCCAAAGAACGCAACGTAGATTGTCTGTTGATTTACATAATATGTCACTTTACATGGTTAATGAATTCCAATACATCACATCATAAGCGGTAACGGGGGCGGGTCGTAGTGTTTCTTACTCGGAACAAATAGTTCAACAATAATGCAACGGAAATGATCCCAATCACGTTAACCGTGTCAACATAGAGACCTGCCATTCTAAAGTGTTTGTCGCCAAGTCTCTTTCATGAGCAGATACATTGAGAACGGGTCTTATGTATGCGAAATGATCTGATCTGATCTGTATTACACGACGTTATCTGAAATTTCGGTGAGAAAGGAAATGTGTAACATGTCGGGTGTGTGTAACATGGATAAATTCCTGATTATTTACACGACGACGATCCGTCGATGTGCCATCATATTCAAGATTTAGCATAACGTCAAAAGTAGGCAAATGCCACGGAATAGTTAATATCAAAGTTATCAATCCAAAAGTATGTTCAAGGAATAACTACGTAGTTCGAAATAACAACTGACTTGTAACCTACATAACAGTTTTGACCGAGGTATTTTGTGAATTGGTAACTGCAATAAATGAAGATAATAGTCGAATAAGCCGCGAAATCTGCGGTACTATATTATGTTTACAGGAAAACATTCAGATTTATGAAAAGTTAGTGAAGAATATTGAAAAGGGCATTTTGACAATGTTGATCGTATTCCTAAAGGAAAATATAAAATTCTTTCTGGATTAATATTAGCAGAATTGACTACTTATACTATGTAAGATAAGGTTTTAATGGAGGAGATAACTAAAATAATTATCTTAATAGTTATTGCACAACTCACGTAAACGACACAGCAGGCATATCAATGGCAATCGTGTTTGCTGGTTTCACGCCTAATATATAAATAAAATCGAAAGAATAATCATATTCGAATGTGCTGAATTAGATACTTCCTTAAGTTCTAATATCGCAGATTCATTATTTACATGGACAATATCTACAATAAAGTGCGCGAATCATCGTGTATTTAGGGAAGGAACTGTGGGGAAAACATAATTTGAGTGAACACGCAACCTCAATAGTAGTGGTGGTGATTAGTAACCATTAAGAAAGTCCGCATTAATGTAGAATGTGATAAAAGGATAAAACTGAATATCATATCATCTGTCAAAACAATTATGATATTATTTCGCATGGGATAGTAGATTTTCGAATTTTATTATGAGCTGCTTAATTGCAGTAGAACTTTATTAAGCATCTAACCATAAAAAGCTGGCACAGTATTGTTTCTTCAAAATTATTATGTGTCGCAAAATCTTAATACATACTAAAGGGTCATAAAGATTCCGCAACAGGATCAATGAAGACATTAAGGTAACAACTAGAGAGCGAGTCATATGAATAAAAGAAAACAATCCACAGATCAAGCATTTCAAAATGATAATGATATCTTTACGGAATAGTTTCTACAGGTATAGCAAAGTTAGTATGTTTTTGACATCCGCTCTACTAAAAATTTTGTTATATATTTTCTGATTATCTTTTTTTCTAGCCACGGAATGGCATTTTATTAAACTCGTTACGGAAAGCCTGTATTGTACCAGCAAAAGTGAATATTAATATCGGATTAATTTATTTAAAACGGTATTGTAGCCCAAAATCAGCCGGCCATCCTTAGATGATGATGACTTGCCATTACTGGCTTCCGATAGAACGTACTCTACCGCAGACGCGTCATTTGTTCTTAACAAAGCTGCCGTAAATTATGGAAAAGAAACGAGAAGATATAAAACTTACCTCGCTTGAAGGCGCACAAAGGTCAACTGTTCTCCAGTATCCTAGCCATGGATGTTCGGATCACGTGAAAATGTACATCCGAATCGTCGACGAGATGTCACTCCACCAATCGTTGCCATCGAATGAGTTAAGCCACCGAAGAAAAGATGGGGTCGAAGCAAGAATAATAAGTGCAATTAGGACAGCCACGTGGAGACCACAGCCAACTACCGTGGGTATTTTACATTTCACTTTTTTTTGAGGGGTACTTTATTCGGTGGTACTTATGTAACACACTATAATAAAAACTGTATAATACATAACGGATTAGGTTACTATAACGGATTCACGTGTTGTAACTCGCGCGTGTGGTCAGCAAGAAAAAAAACTTTTTATTTATTACTATTATCATTATCATTCTATCTATGACACTACGAGAAGGCTCGATATTGAACCAAAGCAAGTGAGAGAGTGAATAAACTCGTACGTGTTGTCCATATATTAATATCGTATGTTAATTAATACAGTAATAAATAATATTCTTTTCCGGCCTAAACGACTATACACAGGCAGCACTGCTGTCAGAGTAATGCAGAAATTTAGGAGAGAATACGTCACTGTTTATAGCGTAGCATCACAACCTCACCAAAAGCTAAATAATGACCTTCTTGTGTGATGTTGACAGAACAGGCATGCCATAAAAGACATTGAAAAAAAACTTCGCTAAAAGATATAGAGACTTTGGTGAAAAAAAATTGTTGCTGGTAAAAAGTTAATTAATATTGGTAAAAGTATAGAAAGTAATATCCCTAAGTATAAGACTATTAAAAAACAAATGAGAATAATATAGCAATAATCAATATTGATCCACCACAACTGATCGACACTCTGTGGACTGGCCATGTCATGTAGAATAAATTGGATAAGCATTTGCGAACGGTTATCCTTCTTGTTTTTCGTTTTAGCGTGAAAAATTTTTTAGTTTTCCTTCGTCATCTTTGTATGCGGTCGAAGCAAGAATAATAAGCTGCAACCATAGGGAAAACCTATCCAAATACTCCTCCTTAGTCTTCGACGTCCGAAGGATCGAATCGGCCGAGATGTCCGAGGCGGAAGACTCACTACTGATATAATCTCCTTCTTTGGTGACGTATGTCCTCACTGCGTCGACGTTCTTTGCCACTTGCACATCAGATCAAAGTACCGCTGATTGGACGTTTCCACCTTCTTCGACGTCACCAAAAGCACGTGAATGTGCAAGCTTCCGTCCATATGATGTTTTCGGCCTATAATATACTCGCTGATATGATTAGCAGTGCCTTCAACCGAAGCTGACGCAATACTTCTTCTTTCTCCAAAGAGTACTGAGGATACGTAAGGAAGATTTTCTTGGCGGCAAAGTGCAATTAGGACAGCCACGTGGAGACCACAGCTAACTAGTTTATGGCCAAGATCCTAACGAAGAAGGTATGACGAAGGCGCTAAAGTAGTTTTCTCGTCGGGACATCCCATTAAATGCTTCTGTTTCCTCTTCGTTGAGCCCAAGTTGGGTAACGATGTCAGCGCTAGTAGCGTTAGTAGTGTTAGTAGCCATTTTAGTTGCTGTTGATAGTTGGAGAGTTGAGAGATGATGTATAAATACAATCAGAAGTCACACGTGAAACGAATACTGTACTATGCAGGATCATAATTAATTTTATTGTCTGCCCTGAATTATATGTGTACCAATTAATCAATTGTTTAATAAATATATTAATATGCATGATTTATTTATGTAAACTTAGATGGGTTGTTTGTTCTCTAATTGTTTGTCTATTCAAGGAGTAAGCTTATTTTATTATTTGCATATTTTAATTGTGAAAAAATATTTTTTAATCCCATTGTACTGCGCATTTCAAGTGCAATCATGGGATATCATGCTGCAGATTGCCCCCTGTGATTTGTTTGCCTCTCAATTGTCACACAACATTCTAACCATGGGTGCTCGATTTGGCAGATAATAAGATAAACTATTAATATTAAGTAGTCTTAAATAAACTTGTTTATCATACGTCATTTTAACTTTGCGGGATTAAGTAGATTATATTTAATACAAATTTCAGCTGACTTTTGACTTCGTCATAATTATAATTATTTCGGCCAATAAATGTGACACGGATTGGACAAGGTGCCTCGGTAAAACTCACACGGGAGTTTTCAAAAAAATGTGGGGTATTAAATTTCGATATTTACCACTAAAACCTGACGTCGTACTTCCAAGAATTGGTTTTTCGTTTCTTCTGGCAGATGTGATTAACGCGTAAAGCGCAAATTTTACTAGCTGAGGGTTAATGAAAATCTACCACTACGTCCTGCTTTAGTCGAAATTTCAAAAATCCTTCCGGTGCGCTCAGCATCGCTAGAATGAAACTAGCGTTGATGTTCGTGTTTACAGCATGCTAATTTATATTTTTCCTGGCGTTTTAACGTCTCGATGAGAGTATTCACGATATCGTTTTTGTCTACTTACAATTATTGTACTAACTCGTCAGAAGAAAGACTTATAATTTAATAAATATGCGCAATTACTGTATTGTTTATTAACAGTTAAATAGCTGACTAAGAATACCCGGCGGGTTCCTGAGTTTGATTCAGTTATCATTAACAAGCAGCAAGCAGAATGGATTTTACAAAAAATTGTGGAATTCACAAACCAAGAGTATTACACCGGTTTTTTGGACAATAGGCAATTAGAGAGAGAGCATTGGCAAAAAAAAAAAAGCGACAATCCATAAATTAAAGCACGCATTGAAAGAATCATAATCCATCAAATGAAAACATCCAAAGCATTTGAATCTACAAAACATGAATGTTGGTCAATCGAGATAGCAGCAATTCTTGAAATATAATGCAGAGAACCTACTTACAATAGGAATCGTCATTCTCTGTCAAATCTTCTAGTGCGCTAACATATTTGGTCGACGACGAACCAGATAATTCATCTGAGGCCTCAGTCTCGTTCTTGTTCTCGGTTATGTTAACGCTTTCCAATCCCGCTGTGATATATATTTCGTCGTCTTCATCCTCTTCCAAACAATCCACATTTTCACTCCCCAAGTCGTTCATATCGTGCAACAGGTCGCTCAAAACTTGTTGAACTTCTCTCATACTGGGCCTTTCGTTGGGATTGTCATGCCAACATCTTTCCACTAATTCCTTGTACCGCAGAGGCACTCCTTTTCCAAATTTCTCTCTTTGACCCATGACTATATTCACCCCCAACGACATATCATTTTGATGCTCTTTGAATGGTTTCTTGCCCGATCCAATCTCCCAGAGTACTACACCAAGTGAGTAAATATCACATTTTTCATCAAATGGTAGTGAAGAATCTTTGAGTCTTTCCGGGGCCGTGTACGCCACTAAGCCATATACTGGACTATCTGAAGAGCGATTGGAAGGAACCACAATTTGATCGGCTCGTGAGAGACCAAAATCTGTTATCATCGGGCCTCCGTTTTCATCTACTAAAATATTGCCCTGAAATCAAAAGTCTAGTGAGTGGCATATTGGAAATGACAAAGACTCCGGCCTATCTTACTCACACTGTGAAAGTCCTAAACTCGATAATTGAACATAATTGGGAATTACAATGACAACACATAATAATAAGTATTATCCTATAACATAACAAAACTTCAAGCATCGGACACTTGCGACATACTCTGTGGAAAATTCTCTCTCTGTGAATAAAAGATAAGCCAATGGTAATCTGTTTAGATAACTGAACTTTCTGATACCACGTTAATTCACTAGCATGCGACTTTAGGTAATCCCTTAGACTACCGTGTGCTGCATATTTCATAATCATGCCCAAGTTCCCGTCGTTATCTTTAGTAATTCCATGTAATTTAACAATATAATCTCCATCGTGAACTCTCTTGTGAAGACGAATTTCCTGAACAAAATCTTTTTGGTCAAAGAGTTGTTTCAGAACAACCGGCGTATCATCCCAATCGGCTTGATATACTACACCAAAACTATTAACGAAATTAATAATTAATAAACAGATCTTGGATAAACAATATAATAACATGATTGAGTCTAACCATGACTAATTATACAGACCCTCCACGTCTCAAAAAGTTGTTAACTTTAATCTGATCAAAAGGTATAGACCTCAAGTGCTGCTGCTCAATAGCCAATCTTAACCATTGGCTCTTATCGTCATTGCCACCAGCTTGTTTTAGTTTTTTCAATTCTTCCAACCTGGACAATTCCTTTTCCACATCCCCCTTTAACGTTTTAAGAACTTCTTCTTCCTCCTCAATTGTAAGAGACCTTTGTAATTTATGCGATGCGAAAGCAACTGATACATTACCAATACAATTATCTAGACGACGGTTGTAATCTACGAGCAAGTGTTGAATACGAAAGTCTTCAGCTGGATTAGGTCTTTGATTTGGAAGTGGCGGAAGCTGGTTCTGCTGAACAAACATAGCAATTTGCTGAAATATTTCTATATCACATTTTGAAATCAAAAGGAAACACTAATTAGTAATAATTAAGACAATAATTCAACCAACTAATAAATTATCCATAAACTTTCTTTGGACAATGCGTATTGAGGAACTTACGTCTAGATTTCTCTAATTCTTCTATAGCAGATTCCAAATCATATTTCATAGCAACAATTTCTGGTGGGTCTTCTTCAATTTTTTTTGCAAAGCTCGCCGCCCGCTCGGCTGACAGCTGGATTCTATTGCCAAAAGATACGCAGTCTGTTTTATATTTCTTTGCATTCTGACCCATCATTTTCACGCTGAATGCCTGAGAAGTGAGCTGCGCGCTTATTTCTTTGATGCTCTTTACTTGCTGTATTGCGACGGCTGGATCAACTTTGGGATTTAATACCATGATGATTTGATTGTTCGTTCAAAAAGCGTGTAATTGGAAAAGAGGAGAACGATAAAAACATGACTAATATTAAGTGTTATGTAAGAGAGACTGTTGGACTGGATCACGAAATTTGAGTTGTGGCACCCTCATATATCAAGTAACACAAAGATTTTAAATTAATTATTCGCGCTCCCTATACGATGTATTTTCTACTCGTATCTAAACAAGGGTACCAACGATTATCAAACAACAACAATTTAATTTTAAATTCAATTCAGGGCAGTCTTCGATTTGGTATTTTGACTAGTCAATATTCCCGCAATACCAAGTGAAGAGTGGATTCTTTTTGAATGTGCACTAACTATTATTTACTTTATACGTTTATAAATGAGTCTAGGTTGTGTCGATGGATCGACCTTTCTGCTATTCGCGTAATTGCGCACTAATATCTTAGTGAATTGATTACAAATATCAGCTGGAATTAACTCGATGATGAAACTCGACCCGTATTTATAGATTTTTCGCAGTCGATATTTTTCTGTGCATTCCTTCCGTTTTGTACTTTGCCTAAAATCTGACACAGGAGTGTCTACTATGCTATAAATTTAAGGACTGATCGATCAGGTGGTTTGTTTGTTTATCAGATCTCCCACTATTGATCTAGTATTTTATTCCTATGAATACTCTTTAATGTTTTCAACGATTGGATTTTTTGCATGATGACCACGATTTACAAGATTTAGTTCTTCTGAGCAATAAAGAATTTCATTTTGTGGAACGATTTTTCAAACAAGAGTCATAGTTGATAGAGTCAATCACAGATGCTGTTGAAGGAAGTGCGACAATAATTACAATGTATCTCTATTCTTAGATACAATGAGTTTACGTCACGGTATGCAATATTAAACCATCGTAAATGTGGGCAATAAAAAAAGTTCTAATATTCCAATTTAGTATAAGAACAACAATTGGATCTTTTCAAGTAATTAAATGTTGAGAGCATCTAGTCTATCCTCAAAGAAGTTGGATATAATCTCTAAAAACCATGGTTGATTAAATAATAAAAGTCATAATGTCAATACTTCACAGAGTACGGCATTGACAAATTGAATCTGGCCAGGAACCCTATAGCATGGTATGCACAAGAAGAATACGCAGTGCAGGTGTCCAAGTATTCCTTCATACCATCATGATATTCCGTATAACAATAGGCACTCTCCTTTAGTTAAGAGCTTTTACCCTCAATATTACTTTTAGGTGAAGGTAGAATAAATTATAAAGCAATCTTGTAGAGTATTTTAATGTAATTATAAACATTTCCCTTGAAATTATGCCCTTATCTCAAATATTCCTGTTAATAGACTGGAAAGCATACATAGCACAAAAATGTTTAACGCGTTTAGTATTCACAGCTGATTGTGTACCTATCGTGTAGATCATTCCAAAAGTCAAAAAGACTGGACAACATATTAAGATAGCGAATACAGATCACAACTATTTCAACTCGAGCTTGTCAATATGTTTCGGTCGCTTCGAGCTGCAAATGCCTTCGCTAATAGGACTAATCTGGTTGGCTTCATTAATGTGCTTCTCGAGTAGACATTTGAATAGCTTGTTAATATTATTGCCTGGTAGCTCACAAAAGGACAGCAGAAACGCTTCCTCGCAATTCACGAGTATCTGTCTGTGGAATTGTTGAATAAATATGGCATCAAAACGCCAAAGGGTGCTGTTGCTAAAACGCCTCAAGAAGCATATGAAGTGACCAAGAAACTCGGTTAGCACTTTCTAGACTTTTCTTATTATCCATTTGAGCGTGCGAGGCAGAGGGAGATCTCCCGCTGTTATGCTTAGATGGGATGGGATGATGCTATTTATAACACTTTAAAGCAAGGAGCCTTTACTCCATTAATGGTTTCGGGCACATCAAGTATTTTCTCGTGAATCTGACCTGATGTGTGAATGGCATTGATTATAACAGATGTGGAAGATACAGTCATAAAAGCTCAAGTTCTTGCTGGTGGGCGTGGCAAGGGTACTTTTGATAGTGGCCTAAGAGGTGGCGTTAGACCTATTTTCTCGTAAGTACTGCATAGCATAAGAATGCTACTTTAGCGTTATACATTATTTACTTAACTATGTCCGTATCCATGTCCAGTCCTGAAGAAGCAAAGATGTTTGCTGAGCAAATGCTTGGTCATAGACTCGTCACTAAACAGACAAGTGCGGAAGGCAAAATTTGTAATACGGTAATAACCTTTACATGCCATCTTTAGCATATTCACAACTGTCTGTTAATGACGTTCAACTTTTTCAAAGGTTTACATCTGTGAGCGCAAGTTCGTTCGTCGTGAATATTATTTGGCCATTCTGGAAGATCGCAAAACACAAGGCCCTGTGGTTGTTGCGTCGTCGCAAGGGGGTGTTGATATTGAGAGTGTGGCAGCCGAGAATCCGGATGCGATCATAACATTGCCCGTAAACATAGACGTTGGACTGACTAGAGAAGAAGCCAAGGCTTTGGTTGAAAAATTGGGATTTTCAGCCAAAGTTACGGATGAGGTAGAAATTGTCACCGAAAAATATGTTTAAGAAAAAGGGAAGAGTGAAATCGTGTTTTTACCGACTTGGTGTATTAATTGTTATCCTTGACCACTTAGGCCGTTGATACTATGATACAACTTTACCAGTTGTTTTGGGATAAAGATGCGACCCAAGTAGAAATCAATCCCATGGCAGAATCGGCCGATGGTGAAGGTATTGTGATTTCTATTCGGATACTTATTCTAATTTTCATTCAATGACAAATATCAATATATTTTTTACCCTGTAACGTCAAGTCTTAGCGATGGATGCAAAGATAAATTTTGACGACAATGCCGAGTTTCGCCAGAAGGATATTTTTGCTCTCCGTGATACCAGTCAAGAAGACCCACGTGAGGTTAATGCGAGTAAATGCAATTTGAACTATATCGGCCTTGACGGTCAAATTGGATGTTTAGGTACGCAGTTTATTTGTTCGAATTTTTTGTATATTTAATTCGTTATTGGTATTTCGAAAACTTGGTTTTCTGTTTGTGTTAATATTGGTTGCGCATTGATCTCTAACTGTTCCTATTATCAGTGAATGGTGCTGGGTTAGCTATGGCAACAATGGACATTATAAAACTTCACGGGGGAGAACCAGCTAACTTCCTTGATGTTGGCGGAGGAGCAACGACAGAGCAAGTCACCGAAGCTATGAAGATTATTACATCGGATCCACAGGTGAACGCGATATTGGTGAATATATTTGGTGGAATTATGCGATGCGATATTATTGCACAGGGAATTATTCAGGCAGCATCGCAGCTACAGTTAGCTGTGCCTCTTGTTGTGCGATTACAAGGTAGATGAAGGCGCAGTCTTGTTTTGCGTGCGATCGTTATACGAGACTTAATCTTTACTTGTTCTTGTGCAGGTACGAACGAAAACGAGGCTAAGAAGTTAATTGCTGGTTCAGACCTTCGCATTATAACTTGCGATGATCTAGATGATGCTGCAATCAAAGCTGTTCAATTGTCTCAGATAGTTAAACTTTCACGTGAAGCGAAGGTCGATGTCAGTTTTCAACTCACCGAGTAGCACATCGGGTAGCACTAATAATTTATGTAGTTGTAAAAGATTCAAAGATTAAAAAGAAGAGGGGAGACGGATTGTACGCCAAATTCATGCAATGGAAGCGAAAAAAAAAAGTTCACTAAACATGGTTGTATTTCGCGCACTAATTAAACTTTCTTTGCAAAGTGTATTTTACATATATTTATGTAATAAAAGCCAACAAGAACTTTAGATTTGTTGATTGATTAAGAAATAAATTTATTAGAAATTGTGTAAGTCATCGTGTCGATAACGTCGCTCACACTTTCATGCAATTACAAAGATAAATCACCAACACACAATTACAATCCCCACCCACTAAAAGTGGACCGTTCGTTTCACACGTTTCCAAGCACGATTATTTATCCGCATTCAAAATTAAATGTGAAGCCGTTTGTTATTAGCAAATGCTACGATCGGTGCGCTGGGAGAGTTTATTGTTTTGAATTCGACGTGTTCTCGGGACTCGGTATTTGTAATTAGTATTTCCTCTTTATTATCTAAGTCAAACTATACTTCAATCACTTAACAAGGGACATATTAATATACACGTTCTCGTGTATCTTTGTATCTGGGTTAACTGGCAAATAATACTTTCATTAACGCCTCCGTCTGCATCGTTTTTCGACTTAATCGATACTGTATCTCAAAAGTGAGCCTTTAAAATGACATTGTGAACTTCGCGACAATTATCTTGTATTATGTGCCAAATTTGGCAATAGATGGGAGGTAATTTAGTCTCCCCCACCAAATCTGGTAGGTACTGATGAGATACAATAGCGAAAAATCGTATCCGAATCTAATTTATGCTCATGGCTGATGCAGGAATATCTAAACATTTCTTATCGTGCAACAACTAGATAGTACTCCCGGACTACCAAACATTATTTGATATGAACGGAGCCCGTCTTGGGATATATGGTTGGCACATTTGTGTATGGCAATTTTACGTTAAGGCTATACAGCAATATCATGAAAAGAGTGACGATATGTCTTTAAGGGATATAAGTGATTGATGATTCATCACTTGCGTAATACCGTGGAGGTTTTAGTTCAGAGATATTATTCACTCGGAAGATTCGAGCAAGTGTGGGATCTGCTTTTATCGCAGCTCCAGGATTCTTGTCTGCATTCTAGTCATCGCGTCTATCGAGGCCTTATTGGCCGACTGCATGGGGCCCATTTGGAAAAGAACTAGTTGGGTATGAAAACAATGTCAGGAAGCACGCATCATCAGGCTGGTGCTGAAATGCTTCGAACCGAGCTCGAATGTTGCTACATATCAAACTCATTACAATAAATAATGTATCATATTTTCTTACATAGCCCAACATATTGACATGCGTGGAGCACATCGTATAATTCGAACCTTTGGACAAAACTCGTATAAGCCCGTTGAATTACAAGTTTATTCAAAAAAGAGTTTGAGTCTCTAAATTATAAGAAATCACAGTGTTAATATTGTAAATTGACTTATTTGTACCAACGTGTAACCGTACCTGCAGCTGAATCCGAATCATAGCTATTTCTTGGTTTAGGTAATTCTCCTGTGGGTAAGAGCTTACTAGAGTATTTATTCTCCTTCTCGAGACGTGTCAAGGGTTTTACATCATTATGGTAGATAGTATTCCACGTGTTGTCATATTTGCTTATTGTAGTAAGCTTGTCAATATCACCATAAAGTTCATCCACATCTGGACGCTTATCAGGGTCAGCATCACAACACCGCTCGGCAAGTTTCTTGTATTCCTCTGGTGCGGAATCAGGCATCAATGGTCGTAGTCCGCCCATAATGTCGCATACTAAATCTCTATCGAACTGCCTATCTCTAAAAGGTGGTTCACCAGTA